TCATTCATGTAGATCAGGGGTTTCCAAACTACGGCCTGCGAAAGTTTTTTTGATGATTGATGATGATGGTAAAATTTTAAAACTATTTAAAAAATACAAAATTAAGTAAATCACTCAAACAAGAGATTTCTACACCATTTATTGCATGAATTTTTTCTCATAGAAAGCTCATTTCACTGCTGAAAGGTCATTTATTTATCACAAGCCATGACCCAGAGGACATAGTGGAGGTCTCAATACGGCCTGTGGGACTTATTGGAGGCCTCAATGTGGCCCATGGGCCAAAAAGTTTGGAGACCTCTGATGTTGATTATTTGTTATTAATTTTAACTTCAAATTATTGGGGAGGAGAGGCAAATCGATATTCTCACCTCTTCAACATTTTTATTCTGAGGGCAATCGTACCCTCTCTTCCTCCCCTCCCCTTCCCCCAAAGTCTGCGCTTATGGAAGAAGTGCAGATAGGCTGTAGTAGGTTTTGTATTATTAAAGCTGATTTATATTTGGTTATTTTTTTTTTTAATATTGTTTATTTGTTTTTGTATTGTCATCCTCCATCTGTGTATGTTTATATTTGTTTAATTACTTTATTTTTGTTTAATTATTTTAACCTATTTAATTACTCTTCATTTTATTAAATGTTTAATTGATCTGTTCTTCTTAATCAAACCAATAAATGATGTTCTTATACATCCTAGATATTTATCATAAACAAATGTCAGTTGAAATGCAGTTTTCTTTTTTAATTCTTGAAACTTTATTTTTATTTATATAAAAAATAATGCAAGCCTATTGCCATCTTTTCCTTTTTGGAGAAAACGTAGTTGTGAAGTACCCTAGTAGCCCTGGAGCCTGAAAAGATACTCATAGCAGGAGAATGTTTGAATGTGAATTATGGAAGTGTATGTTATTCAAATAAATACAGGCAATTAAGATCTGTGTCCTCCTTCTGAGTACCAGAGTGCTGAACCGTTAATAGAAGGACCAAGTAAAGAGGAAGTTGAAGTAGCTATCAGAAAATTAAAATCTTATAAAGCAGCAGGAACCGATAATATTCCTACTGAACTAATTAAGGCATGCGGGGAAGCTGGTGTTTCTAAAATACATCGGTTGGTTAAAAAGATGTGGGTGAATGAGAAATTACCTGAAGAATGGAAAGAATCTATTCTTATTCCGATTCACAAAAAGGGACCGAGGACGGATTGTAATAACTATCGAGGAATTTCTCTCCTTCCGGTATGTTATAAATTATTCACTTTAATCTTAACCAGTCGAATCACAAAAAAAAAAAAAAACTAGTAAATCTAGTCAGGATGTGCTTGACGGGGACACTCAATAAAGTTAGAATCGGTAATAATCTGCCCGAAAAATTTGAGGTTCGTTCGGGTTTAAAATAGGGGGATCCCCTTTCGCCTGTCCTGTTCAATTTGGCATTAGAACGTGCCATTTGGGAGGTAATGCGTACCGAGAAAGGGTTGGATCTGGGTGGGACAACATCCGTGCTGGGCTATGCTGATGATCTGGTACTGTTAAGCAAAGACGTTGAAACTTTAAAGCTAAATACGACAACGTTAATGAAAGCCGGTAAAGAACTAGGACTCGAAATAAACGTGGATAAAACAAAATATATGGTTAGTTGCAAAAATGGCGATACTACTGGTGATATCGATATAGATGGTAATATGTTTGAACAGGTAGAGAAATTTAATGGTAAACGTCCGAGGGGTAGACCGAAGCGAAGGTGGGAAGATTGCATTAAAGCCGATCTGAAGGGACTGGGTTTGGACGGCGAACGGTGGAGGGAGTTGTGTAATAAGCGATTGGTGGTGTCGGCATCGAACCTTCGGGTTCGCTAAGCCTTTTATTATTATGTTATTCAAAGTAAAGTGAACCTTTTGTGCCATTCTAGGGTCTCTGTTTTTAAAAATGGCAGCTGATTTAAAGAAGATGAAGCCAGTAATTTGAAGATCGAAACCGTGATAATGTTTTGAAAATTGAGAAAAGTTTTTGTTTTTTAACTTTTATATGTGGTTTCAAACATGTGCAAAACAAAAATGCTTTTACATAACTCCTGAACGGTGCATCCAAGAAAAAAGTTTACTCTTTAAGAAATTAAAGAACATTAAATTGTGCATTGAATGAGCACTTAATAATTTAATCAATTGGTATGATCAAAAACCATAGTCAACTAACAATTTCTGATGGCTGAGGCATATTACTAAAAATGACAACAGTTTGGAAATGGATTCTATATGAGAAAAAGCTCATAGAATAAAAGTAGTAGGGCATAAAATTCTGTACCCAACGAGTACCAACATTTTTAATATAGATCAATTACACCTATCAAAATTGATAACATCCCAGTGGCTGGCGATTGTTTATGAAGGTACTTATGATTTTCAATATTTCAGCAGTATAGAGCGTGTGTTCTAGTGAGTTATTTTTGTTTAGAATCTGCTATATGCATTATTGTTCTCTTTTTACCTCTCAGCAGTGATAGATTTTGGCAAACTCAAAATCTTACAATTCAATATGGCGAATGATAAGGATGGTAGTCACAGGCGGATCTACGTGGGAGGGGGGGCTTTCGGGCTGAAGCCCCCCCCCCCCCAAATGGTAAAATGTAACCATGTTTTACAGAAAAAAATATTAAAAACTATCTCTTAAAGTATTCTTGTTCGTGTAATTATATTTAATAGGACTTCATGAACCACTTAAACACCATTTCATATAGGTAATTAATTTTTTTTTCAAATTAATTTTCGTTATATGTATGTGAAAAAAAAAAAAAATCTTTCGGGCTGAAGCCTCCCTCTCCCAAAAAATTAAATCCTGAATCCGCTAGTAATGGAAGAAATAAGAAAATCACACTTGGACAAGGTGGAAGGGAAACGCTATGAGTGTTTGATAGATAATCTGATCCCAGCTGAACCACCGAGAAGAGATGCAGTAGCCTGCTTCCACCTGGTCACTGGTCACGACTATCTGCAGAGTCATCTCCACAAGATGAGCATGGCTGAGAATCCTATTTGTAAATTGTGTCATCAAGGAAGAAGCGATGCAGACCATCTAGACACATGTCCTGCCTTGACGGACATAAGAGAAAAGACATTTTTAAATCAATTTATAAGAAAATCTAAATTATAGTGGGCAACAAGATGTTCGATGGCTGAATGACCAACGACTTTGGCATAAGAAATAAAAAAAAAAAGTTGTTGACAAACGTTTCAGAAGGTCCCGAATTTTCTGAAGCAGTGGCAAAGCCATGTAATTGGCCTACATTAAAAATGTTAATACTCATTGGGCATTTTTGAATCCATATATGCAAGTTAAACAAATTAAAACTTAAACAATTTTTTTTGCAATATAATCCAGGTTTTGTTCATCAAGTTACTGACCTAATATGTTTGAAAGCAGCGGCTTTGGAATGGTAAATAAGGTTCATTTTACTTAGTGTAACATACACTTTCATAATTCACGTTCAAACCTTTTCCTGCTCTGAGAATCATTTTTAGCCTCTGGCTCCTGAAGCTACATTGATTGTAATAAATGTTATTAAACATACCTAATTACATGTAATTTGCCAACCCTGTAGCTTCTTAACTGAATAAGTAGTAGTCTAACAGGCAGCAACCTACTCTGTAAGCGCTAATATTACTAATAATTATATATTTATTTTTCATGATTTTTATTATACAATAAGTTGTATAATAAAAATCATCGATCAAATATCAGTGGTATTTAACAGAGTAAAATAAATAGATTTAGAGCTTATAATGTAGATTCAGAATATATAATGATTTGTAGATAATTCAAGTTTGTAAATTTGTTACCATTGTAATGTTGAAGGAAGTTGTGAAATTTCACCTTTATGAAATTCTTCATTTAATTATTATGTGGTGCTTTTTTTTTAGTATAGTTGAGGGGTAATAATTATAAATTTGTTATTTCAAATAATATTATTTTTTAGTATTTAACATTGTTTTTTTATTTTTATGATTTCCTTGAATAATTATATTTTTTATAGGTTTTATTATGTTTTTATAATAGAAGTGATAATACTTCTATCAGACCAATCTATTAGGCTGTTATAATAGAATCAGAGAGCTAATCTGCAAAATGTAGCATATTTATTTCAAAGTATGATATTTTGGAGAGCTTCATGATAGCTAGTCCTACTAGATTGTGTGAGATACCTGAAATATGTATATGTCGTTACCCCAGTGCTTTTAAACATTTTAAAATACAATTTAAATAATATAATATGAATAATTTATATAAGTATATTTTATTATTTAATAAATCTATGAGAATTAATTTTACAACCTACAATAACCCAAATAAAATTGTTTGATCTAAAGCTATCCAACTTGAAAATTCTTGAAATTTCATTTTAATGTATAAATTAATACCAAACTAATATCTGACATCCACTCACTTTTAATTTGAACTGCTTGCCTGAGAAATTTAGTGAAAAAAAAAAATGCCTGTCCCACATTCTGTGGTTGACCTTATACTAAATTATCGAATTTCTGTCGTACATATTTCAGATATTGTTTATAAGTCTACTTTTTTTCGCATTGGCTTCTGGAGATTTTTTTATATTTTTAAAAATTATTATTTGTGTTAACCTTAATGAATCTAATTCTATATTATGAATGTATAATATAAAGTTACATGTTAATGTTATTGATTCTTAAATAAATACTACTAAAGAATATAATGTAAATCCAAAGTTTAATATTTTAAATTCTTCTATCCTTAATGTAAACATGATAGAAAAAAAATTTATTTCAAACATTTGCTGTTATTTTTATGTTTAATAAAACATAATTAACTTGAGAGGAACAAATGAATAAAAAAATATTCCAGCACCTTGCTTTGAATTGTGTCTACTCTAGTTTTATGTTTTTTCTAAAGCTTCATATGTTTATTAACTAAGTTTGTTGATAACTCCTATACTATTATGAGGTTTGTCGTGGAATTGTGGTTCATGTTTAGGTGTGATAGTGAATCATGTGAGGAGCAACAGAAGTGGCCTATAGTTTATTCAAAATCGTATAACGTGCATTTTTGTGGTGTTGAGAAATTACACCCCTTTGACGCTGCCAAATGGGAAAACATATACAAAGTAAGATGTATACACCACCATATATCTTATAAGTAGATTTACAAAATTTATTGGTTTAATGCAAGGATTTCATTTTACCTAATAGGTAATATTTGATATCATACTAGTGTAAATTTTTCGTTTTAAAATCCTGTTTTCTTGAAGAAGTTTTAATAGATAGATGACAATAAACTTTCTTTGAATGTGAAAAATGATGTTGGATCATAAGAATAATAGATAATTAGTCTGATTATGTTTATAAAACTTTGAATAAGAGGCTATGAACATACCTAGAATAAAACAGAAAATAATAATAAAATGTAAAATTTAGCTTTATACTTTAGATTCTTCTGAGGGAAAAATCTTGTAGGTAATGGAACACTTGTTTTTAATATAATTTAATTAATTTATGTTTTTGTATTAGACCTTCCTCCCTTTCACAATTATTACCTGACCCTTTTTCAGCTTGTCTTACTACACCACAAACTTTTTATTCTCATTGATTCTAGGTCATTTGTATCATCGAAACTAATGCCATTTTTCTCCATTATTGTTTCCTCTTATTAAGAATTATTTATTAGTCACCAGAGGTAGATACATTATTAGCCTTATTGAAAAGAGTTAATCCTCTTTCTATGATTTTTAGTAATAAGTTGAATCTCTCCTTAATTGATTAAAACTTTGTAACAACTCTTTTTCATTTGTTGTTTCAAATTTCTAACCATTACTATGTTTAGTTCATTATCAGATATAATGTAAGATTTAGTTTGCTAATAATTTGTGACTATTGTAGATTTTGTGTTTACAGTTTTATTAGTGATACTAACTGGCCAACAGGGGTCCTCTCCTCCCAAGGGTAATGACAATAACAACATCCTCACATACACAACGATAAATAGATCCATATATTTTTGTTCTTAGTTTATGTAAAACTGTTATAGATGTATTAGTGTTACAGAAACTAACTTCTAAAAATATGGTTCCTTAATAACTTAGTAAAATTGTGTTGCCCAAAAATTTTGGTATTGCAACTTGTACCATGCTCCTGGTGCTGTTTAGCATTTCTATGACTACCATTCCTTTCTGTTTGTTTTACTTTTCAAGCAATATTTAATAAATTTAATGCTTTATTTCTTGTACTCATCGGTTTCTGATTATTCACGTTTTTTGGAGTGTAAGTTTACATCAATTGAAATATTTTTTTTTATCTTCTTCATGTTCTTTAACATTGACCCTAATTCCATTTACTGTTATTTGTTACCATCTTCTGTTTTTTCATTTATACTATACATTAATTGAATTTTTGTTTTTAAAGTATTTTCCTTGTTTATTATTCGTATCACTCCTTCCTTCTTATCAATACCTCTTGTATTTTACCTGTCTTGTCTTCCTGCCTACTCTGAAGATAAAATTTTTTATTTGTCTCTATATTTTAATGATATAAAAAGTAAATCATAGTCTTCTAGTATATAGTTTCAGGAAAAATGAGTAAACTAAGATTTTGGGAATGAAGAACATTATTACTGTTATATATTTAGTTAAAATAATTTTAATAATAAGACTTACAATAATGCAAGCAACATATGACGTAAAATAATCATTTGAATTGTTTGGTAAAAAAAAAGTTGAAAATTCTTTTAATAATTTGGGAATTTAGAAGATTGTACTTGGTACCAGGAAGATGTTTATGCATAAAAAGTTACTTAAGATATATATAAATAAGTGTTTGAGGAGTAAGTAAGAAAAATATATTTGGTTAAGCGAGCGAGTACCCATAATGTAAGTTTTACTATTTTTTTTTCCTACCTAAAATATTCAATCTTGAATTGGTATTCTATTACAGTCGATCAATTACAATTGCTATTTCAGTCATGAGAAAAATATAAGGTTTCATATTAAGTGTGTCTGATTAATTATTATCTCTGTCTAATATATAATATGAATGGAGTCAATTCTTATTTTCTTGATCAGCATATGCTTTTTTATTTTATTTTGATTTCTTTGAGAAAATAGTGCATTGTTTTGAAAGAAGTTTGTTGCTCATGGATTTTTTATTATTATTTCAGAACTGAAATAACTTTTCATTTTCTGAAGTAAAAGTATTTATGAATTGTTTCAGGAAGTTAGTTGACTGTTCTATATATCATGGGCGGTAAATAGTCAGGACGCTGTCATGTTTAAGGTTTTTATTAGTGCCTTAATGCTAACATTTGAACCCAAGCATGTGAGTCATCATCAGGGCATTTCGAGCTCTGAACGAGATCAAGTACTATACTTGTTGGAACATCAGCACTAATACAAACCTTAAAAATGACTGTGTCACTCACAAAAGTATTTATTTAATAATTATAAACTTTTTCCATGCACTATTGTGTTTGTTGTGAAACACAGATAATCATCACTTTTATTTCTCTTGTATAATTTTGTTCATTTTCTAAATATATATATTTTTTTAATTAATCTATATTTCATTTTCCATTAACACAGCGCTTAAAAGAATTAATTTCATTAAATGACAATGAAATATTTTTGCCCGAAGAAGCCACAATACAAGATTTGCTGCTTGTGCATACACAAAGATATCTTAATAGCTTAAAGGTAATTTATTTTGTTGAAATTCATTTTTCATCTTAGATTGTATAAATGTTTCTTTTGATTCTGATTATTAAGTTTTGAGGTTTTTATGTGTCCAATGGATATAGCAATTATATTTAATTGAAGAGAAGTTGGTTGGGGTGTTCAGTCAAAACAAAAAAGTTAATATTTTTATTATTTTTTTATATGTCAGACATCATTTGTTTTAAATACAATCTAAGTTGATACTGTAATAAATTTATTTTACTTTTTAAGTATGTTATGTTAACATGAGGCTTAGAGTGAGTTATGGTAATAGCATAGGTTTTATAAACAAGTCTTCAATTTTTCTCTATACTTAATTTTTAGTGGGGGTGGAATGTTGCTAGTATAGCTGAGATTCCCTTGTTGGCATTTCTTCCAAACAGATTCATTCAAAGATGTTATTTACGGCCTATGAGGTAAGATATTATTTCATCTTTCATTTTCAAAATAATAAAAATAAATATTAATTTCTTGAAAAAATTGCTAAAGCTCAATGATTTAAATTTATAAATGAACTGATTTTACATTTTTAATTTGTTAGTTATTTGATCTTTTTGATTAAGTTCTGTTAGATCATACATGAAAAAGGGATCATGCACGGAGAAAACCAAGTACAGTAGGACCCCCATTATCTGGGGATCTATTAATTGCGGTTCCGAGGGGCCAATTTGTATTTTTTTTTAATAAGGTGTTTTTTTAATTTTTGCACCTTTTATTTTATATATATATTTATTTAAAAAATTTAATACATAAGATTTGTAAAACGATTACATAATTGTTCTTAAAAATAATGAATGGAAAGCTGGTATTGTATGAATAAGATGTTTTCGGTAACTACAAGTCCAATTCATATTCTAGAAACGGTAATGTTTTCAAGTCTATATGAAACTCCTACTGGTTCTTTGCCTACAAAGTAAAATTATTTACAAAGGAAGGAGATGGTCCGGGGTTGCGGTCATAAAAAGGCTAAATAGTGGTAAAACTATTTTATTGAAAGCCAACGTTTCGACCCGACTTTGCAGGTCTTCATCAGGGAGGTGTGTTCCTCTAGGAGTTTCACTTAGAACTCAATACATATGTAAAAAGATTCATAGATTCATTCTTATGTATTTTTGTAGATTATAATTTAATTTATATAAAACGTTTGTTAATAAAAGTAATTGTCTGCACTTTTTTATTAAATTAACATTCTTATCTATCACATTAAGTCAATAAAATGTAATTAGATCATCCCGGGTTTTCAATTATCCATGAACTCCCATACCCATCACAACCCCGGATAACATAGGTTCTACTGTAGTTCTAAATTTTTAATGTTATGAAGATTTAAATTATTAGTAAGAAAACAAGTTTGTATCTTCAAAAGACCTGTGTGACCAATTTAACTATCTAAAAACTGCAAAACTTTTTTCAGTTTCTATTTAATAACTCCAAAACTATGTGCATGATATAAAAGCTTGTATTTTTCTTTTTTCAGGTTGGTATAACGTACTATAATCTGATATCAACTACTATTTTATAAATGCCATCAACAATATATTAATATCATAACATATATTTCATACAATAAATATAAAAACTGAGGAAATGTCAAATCAATATTTATTAATAAGACAGTATAATAATGATAATAATAAATTTTATCATTATTACCTTATTTTTGTTGTTATTTCTTCATATTCATTCAGTCGTGGTATTATTAATTTTTTAATATTTTTCTATATTATTATTTTTACATGAGACCCATTTTCTAAATGTCCATACGTTTTTTATTTAAAATATATCCCTTAAAAATTAAGGGAAATTGCAATAACAAAGGAAACAGAAACTGTTTCCATTACAATTTAAAAACTGAAGATAAGTTGACATTCAAAGTTAAGAGTTTAAAAAACTATTAAAAGAGATATGATTCTAATTTTACCTATCTAATTGTACCATTTTCTACCTATTTTAGAAATATCACAGTCACATTATTAAAAAAAAAATATTTATCTAATTTTTGTTCCCAGTGAAATATTATTTAAAGTAGACAATCCATTTTTAAGATTTAACTAAAATGATTAATGTTCATAATTAATATATTCAATTGAATTTAATGTTATTAGATATCAAACTCGGGGAAGTATGATGGCTGGACAGCTTGCTATAGATAGAGGTTGGGCAATAAACATTGGTGGTGGATTCCATCATTGTAGAAAAGATCGGGGAGGTGGCTTCTGTCCTTATGCAGACATAACTCTCATGATTGAAAGTTTATTTAAATCTCGCCCAAATGAAGTGAAGAAAATAATGATAGTTGACCTGGATGCACATCAGGTATTGTTTAATTGATATTTACAGTTTATTGACCTGTCACACTTATTGTCTATCAATAAAAGAACATAGCTTCTGCTTCAACAGAAGCACTGAAAAACGTGAGATATTCTATATTTTTCCCTACTTAATATTTCTGTGTCTGACCTGATATTCTGAGGTGATAAAATTTTCTCTGGAGCAGTCTCAGTTCTATTTTATAGCTATTAGCATTACTGCCTAAGCCCTTAAAAGATGGTTTTACTTAAGAATCAAAGCACACCTCTCCTTCCATAACTCTTGTTTCACTTTATAAATTTGACTTAGAATATCAGTTATTATATTTTGTATGGTATTAATTATTATTTTGATGATTTAAGAAGTTGTTAAATTACATTTACTAGATTTACTTACATTTTATTAATTTTTTGTTGAGACACGACCTCAATCTTAAAAGTAAGTCTCAAGCAGACCATTCGTTATCATTCAAAATGGAACCATGAAGTGAAAAAATTAAATAGAAGACATTTTCAGGAAGCCCACTAACAATCACTTCCCTCCTTTGTTACATTGTCACCAACTGGTGTGACATGCTCTTACACGTCATTTTCAAAAATATAACATGAATACTCTTAAACCCTACAATTGCAGTTATTAACAAAAAACATCTCTAAATTGTATGAAAATAATATTCACAACTTTTAGTGTGGAATTAGCAACTTTTCTCTTCACAATAACAAATTGGTAATTTTAGTCATACACTTTTTTTTTTTGATATGAGAAGGAGTTAGTCGAGGGTGCGGTCAAATAAATAAAAAAAAAAATTAAAATATATAAATAATTTTAATTTTTGCCGACGTTTCGACCCACTTTGCAGGTCGTCTTCAGGGCTACAAAAGATACAAACATGTTGAAAAAATAAAAATAAAATAAAAAATAAATATAAGTATATATAAATTACGAAGAAGTTGTCAGATACAGAAATAAAAGATAAAGAAAATAAATACATGATAAGAAAATAGATAAAAGAAAATAAATACATGTATACATGAATGTTAACGAACAAATGAATGTTAACGAATAAATAGATTGAAAATTGAATAACTTTACTGTAACAATAGTTATTCAATTTTCAATCTATTTATTCGTTAACAATCATGTATACATGTATTTATTTTCTTTTATCTATTTTCTTATCATGTATTTATTTTCTTTATCTTTTATTTCTGTATCTGACAACTTCTTCGTAATTTATATATACTTATATTTATTTTTATTTTTTCAACATGTATGTATCTTTTGTAGCCCTGAAGACGACCTGCAAAGTGGGTCGAAACGTCAGCAAAAATTAAAATTATTTATATATTTTAATTTTTTTTTTTATTTATTTGACCGCACCCTCGACTAACTCCTTATCATATCATATCAACGGTCAACCATCTCTTCATCACTTTTTTTTTTGTTAAAATAAAAAATTGTTTAACACATATTTTATTATATTTATTAATTTCTATCAATATTTCGATGTACAGATTAGTATAAGTCAAGATAATTAGTGGGATCTAAATAAAGCTTCTACAATAGCAAGAAGTTAAATAATTTAATCTTTACAAAAAAAAAAATTAGTTTAAATTTTAAGTATATTACAAATCCTCCATATTTTTAAATATAATTGATAGTAAAATTAAACATAATTGTAAGTTATTTATATCAATATTTTTCTTGCTTATTTTGTCCAACCAATATTGTAAATTTTAACTGTACTTACTATTATATTTACTAAACATCAGTTTTACTCACTCATGGCTGGTTGGAATGATTGGATTTTGGAGTGGCGTGATAGAGTTTAGGATTGTTGGAATTCCAGCTGCACTACATTACTCCAAAGAATCTACATTGAATTTTATATCCATGGTCATTCATTTTTCTAATAAAATCTTTAATATTAAATTAATTTTTCAAAACAGTTGATTTAAATATAATATTTATAATAAAATGTATTAAATTATCACCTAGGTATTTTTATTTATTAAAAAATTCTTTTTCTCTTCATATATATTACTAAATAACAATAATAATGTTCTCCATGTGATTATTTTAATTTTTAGGGTAATGGTTATGCAAGAGACTTTCTCGGAAATTCAAAAGTGTTTATAATGGATGTGTATAACAGTGGAATTTATCCTCAAGATACTGAAGCTAAAAAGGCTATTCATTGTAAAATTGAATTACACTATTACACCCAAGATGCTGAATATCTTGATAAAGTTGAAAGGTCTGTGTATTATTTTAATACTTACTGATTACTGTAAAATGTGTTAATTGCTTAACTAAGTATCCATAGCCTGCATAGCTCTCAGTCCTTAAGGCTCATACACACAGAAGACGATATTTAGCTCGGCGGCATAGCGGTACAGTTATATTACTATCTATTCTATTATAACAGCCATATAGAGTGTTAATCCACAGCGATACATGCTATAACGCCAGGGTCAGCGATAAATTTATACAAATTACAAATATATTGTCCTCCTTCGACGTTATGTTCTACCTAATGTAGGGAGAAAAGTGAGCTAATACCCAAGTTAATAGGATTATTCCAATATTATAACAGCATGGTCACACAGAAGTCGTTATTTAGCGTGGTGCTATAGTGCTAAAGTTGTATTACTATCTTTTCCATTATAATAGTCACATAGAGAGCGTCAAATCTCAGCGATACATTCTATAGCGCCGTGGCCAGCAGTTCGAAAAATATTACAGATACAAAGCTCAGTTGAAGTCATTTGGTGGTAGTATTTGTATAAATATGGAAAACGCCAAATTATTTATATAAAAAGTGTGGAATGGCCAATTTTTAGTTGATACTTCAAGCAAAGGTTACAAAAACATTATTAATTGTGGATTGATGGTTGACTGTAGTGAATAATTGAAGAGAAGGATGTTTGGGGTGATCAGTCAAAATAAAAAATAGTAAAAATAAATAATTATATTTATTTTTATTTTTATATTGGCCAACCATCCTTCTCTTCAAAAACATTATTAAAAAGGATACATGAAAAAAATTTGCGGAAGAGCTAAATATTAATAAAGAATACATAAATAAATAAACTTTAAAAAAAAATATAGCAATAAATCAATAAATGAGTTGAAATTAATAACCAAATTAACTTTAAAAATAAAATGAAATAAAGTAAATAAATAAAAAATATATAATAAAAAAGAATAATAAATCTGCAAAGGATCGTAATTTGTAACTTGCCATAAATGTTGTTTAAGTCTTTCATTATCTAGGAACTTGAGAACTTTGGTAACGATTTCTTCTTGATTTCCCAGAGATGCTGATATATTCTGGGATATTCCGAGATCTTTTAACCTTGCGGTGTAAAAAGGGCACTCTTCCAAAACATGTTTTATAGTTAATGGCTGGTCACACTTTTGACATCTGGGGATAAGATCTTTTGTTATGAGGTGGAGGTGAGTCAGTCTAGTATGTCCGATCCTCAGCCACGTGAGGACGACCTCTTCTCTACGACTGCTGCGTCTGGAGCTGGTCCACGGTTGCACCTCTTTCTTTATTGTCTTCAATTTGCTAGGTGCGCTGTTGTCCCACCGTCTTTGCCATTCTTGAGATATGGTTTCTCTTAAAGGTCGTGCTAGTTCAGACGGTGTCAGAAAAGCTTTACCGCGGCCTGGGAAGAGTAAGAGCTTCTTTTGCTGCTCTATCAGCCATTTCATTTCCTTTTATGCCTATATGGCCCAGTCGACCAGATAAAATGTGCTGTTGTTCCAACTTCATGAAGCATTTTTGTAAGATTTAAAATGTAGTGTATCCCTGGATGGTCTGGATACATATTATTCATGGGTTTCAGAGTACTTAGGGAATTATACAGTATATTAATTGTACAGTATAATAATTATACAGTTATTAATTGAATCTTAATATTTTTAAAAAAGGAATATTACAAAAAAATCTTCTTTAGTTTTATAGTTCGTAGGTTAATATTATGTTATAGGTTAATGTTAGTCCGTAGGTGGCATATCTATTTATAAACATTTTTCATTATGTATTTATTATTTACTTACTTATTCTCATATTATCAACTATAGCATAAACTACTTTTCCATATTATTTAGACTATGATTAAATCAATGTTTATATTAAAATAATATCTTGCTAATTGTATGTTTCAAAAAATAGCTAAATTTATTCAGTTAAAAATATATACCTATTAATTGAGTTGAAAAAAATATCTGACCTCGTGTCAGGAGGAGAGATGTTGTGACTGAGAGTATGGCAGGGCGAGGGCTGACGGAGGAGGAAGCGATTTGAGCTCATTAGCTCACTGATAGAAGGGGTGGAGGAAAGATAAGAGTATTAAGATTTCCCTCTTAACTTCAAAGAATGTAGATGATTGACTCATTTGGAGAAATGTTGATGTTGCCGTAGAAAAGGACATATATATTAATTCAGAAAATCAAAAACCTTCTTTAAGTTGGTAACTTTTATGATAAACCGCCCTGGCTTAAAATAAGTTTTAAACCTAAGGAACATTACAAACTAGTTTGAAGCTCTCCTAATGACTTTTACCTGTGTTATGATTACTAAGTTGTTATACTCTCATTAGAAACTGGTTAGGTTAAAGTTTCTTTCAAAGCAAATAAACATGTAGTGTTTTACATGCATAAAATTGAAAATAATGAACTTGAAGAAAATATAAATATTTTCCTTCTTTATAAACTTTTTGATTGATTTTAAAATGAATGTAGGCTAAAATAACAATAAAAGTTGACCAATTTTTAAATTTTAATGTTTGTTTGTTATTGACAATTGGACAGTTGTTTAGAGCGTTCATTGCGTGCTTTTCATCCTGATTTACTAGTCTACAATGCTGGTACAGATATATTAGAAGGTGATACCCTAGGCCGACTTTCAATCACTCCACAGGTAATGTTTTAATTTATTTCTTAAAATTTTCAATCAAATACCATTTTCAGTACTGAAATATTGAACTTTAATCTCTTAGTTTTCATTCTTATTTTTTGGCTGAGTAAGTTTTTTATTTTTTAAAGATTTAAAAAAACATTAATTACTATAGTTGATTTAACTTTACTAAACTTGCATTTGGATAATTATAATGGTCACATGGCAAATAAGAGGGTTTTTAAATTTGAATTAAAAATATTGGATTACCTGATTAAATGTATATTTTGTTAATTTTTTTTCAGCTGGTATCAACTTACTGGTTGCAGTGTTTCTTTAAATTATTATATTGAATATTCTATAGTAATTTTGTCCTTGTTGAAAATTATTGTTCCATTTTTAGTGCTAATTATTATTATTTTTAGGGTGTTATTCGACGTGATGAATTGGTATTTATGAAGGCAAGAGAAAGAAGAGTTCCTATTGTAATGTTAACTAGTGGTGGATATACAAAGCAAAGTGCCCTTGTTATTGCAGAATCTATTGCAAATTTACATGGTTTAGGTCTTATTAGCAAAAATTAGATATTTGTTATTTTACAATAAAAATTAGATGGATATTAAATGTTTTATATTGCTCAATAGAATTTAGTACTATCAATAGTTGTATAATGAAGGATTTTATATATTTTATGAAAATGTACGTACTACCCCTATGATGTTTGAATGTTATTATTCAAGTGACAGTAATTAAAAGTATAAATCAATAACCATGTTTGTTTTTTTTCCAAAACAGTATTATTGGGCATGATTAACTTGTTAAGAAACCCTAACTTTATGATAAAGAAGTAAATTGATTCCTCATTTGAATAAATGTGACTTGAAATGCCTAACAAGGTTATATTAAACAAAAAAATGATTTGAAGACTTTACCTATACATGTTATTTTAAAGTATGAAAGCAAGTACTGGGCGTACTACTCATACTCAGCGAAGAGCGATTGAACAGGTAGGAAAGAAAAATCCTTTGTAGAATTTATGGCCCAACTAAAGAAGGAAATCTTTGGTGTAAGAAGATAAATGATGAGCTGAAGAACCTATATAATCCCCCAGACATTAGATTTGCCATAAAGAGGGGAACAATAAGATGGTTGGGTCATGTGCAAAGAATGGACATGGCAGGCTCCCTAAAATGATGATGGAGGGACATCTGGGTGGAAGAAGGAAAGAGGCAGGCCTAGACTTCGTTGGCTGGAAGACGTAGAAAATGATCTAAGGAGCCTGTGTGTAGGCAGATGGAGAAGGGCAGCCGAAGACAGGTCAGTTTGGAGGAAGATAGTAGAGCAGGCCAAGGCTCTACAAGGACCATAGTGCCATCGGATGATGATGAAAATTATTTCTACCCTGTAAGATGTTTGAATTTCTAATACATAAAATCTTATCTTCCAAGAAATATTTTCATGGTTTTTAATTGATAAAAGCTCCTGAAAGTATAATCCATCATCCACTTATCCTTCTAAAACTACCATAGTGCCGAAGAATGTAATCTACAATAGAGTCCTATTTCTTAACAATACTTTATTTACAAGAGCTTAGTGTATGATCTGTAGAAGGTAGTTTTAATACTTTAAACAGATATTCTTTTCAAAACTTAATATATGTCATTTTTAAATAATAGAAATTAATTTAAAAATAGTAAATTAATTAAATAAATTATCACCCGACAAACCAAATTATTTGGTAAGTATTATTAGCAAATAAAATAATTATCTCAAAGAAAAATTTTAAATTTTGTACAGATGACTAGTATATTTGTGTATGATATTTTCATTGAGAATTCACAAAATTCCAAAAATATTCATTCTATATACTTATAAGTCTGAAACCAGAATTTTTTTATAAAAAATACAATGTTCATTGCATACAAATGTTAATTAAGAAATATTTTCCATCGCTAGCTATACATTTTCCCCATCTCTCTGGCAATTTATAAATGCCATGTCAGAAAAACTGTTTTATGACAAATTAGTCATCTATCCATTTTTGTAAATTCATAAAAGAAGGGAAGTGTTGCTGAGGAAATGCGGGCCTCATGAATGCAAATAAATAGTAGTCAGACAGAGCCACCAAGTCTGGTGAGTAAGACGCATATTACTAAAGCTGCTCATCAAACCAACCTAGACAGGACTGGTTCTAAAGATAGAGATTGAATAACTCTTGTTGATGGACCAGTATCTCTTACCCTATATTTTTGGATATTCGATGGATCTTTTATTTTTCATGTTCTCTTAGTACCTTCATGATTCTGAATACACCTGTAAACAGATTTCAGAGAAAATACTCCTCAGTTGTATACCTCCACCCCCCCCCCCAATAAGTCAGGAGGCAAATACTCTCTGCTAATGGTTTACCATATAAAGTTTCTGAGCACATAACTTTTGGGTTATCTTTGGATCATAACTTTGGGTTCATTAACATATAATATATTATAAATACACTGACAGGCAAAAAATTCCACCCACTTGATTTTTTCATGTTTTCATCTAAAAATATTTCTGCTTTGGATTGGTCCATTGTTTTTAATGAATAAATAGGTAATCTTTTTGTTTGTTTTCAATTAGGAATGTTAATATAGAGGACAATAACCCTTAATCCTTAATTCAATGAAATGATTCTAGATTCCAATGTTTACTTTCTATGGAATCAAAATGTTTATTCAGTATCATTAGTTCAGTGCCGTTTCTTGCAGCACATTTCTTAGTCTCCGGCTTTTAATTTTTTCAATATTAAGTTTAAAAATGCCTCTTAGTGCTGAGGATGTTGCGCGTGGTGTGGCACTTATTGATGATGGACGTTCCATTAGATATGCAGCTAATGCCATCGGAGTTCTATATGAAACTTTACGAGACGCCGTCAGGCGTTTTCGGGAAACTGGTACTTACAATAGAAGGCCCAGTTCTGGATGGCCTAGGGTAACAGAACCACGGGATGACCGGTTCTTGACTTTGAGAATTTTACGAAACCGGCACCTAACCGTTGTTCAAGCTATTCATCAGCTCGAAGAAGTTCGAGATGTGCAAATTTCTGAACGTACCACTCGGAGAAGATTAAATGAGTATGGATTAATGGCTTTTCGTCCAGTAAGAGGACCAGAGTTGACCAGAACTCACAGAGTAACACGGCTGGCTTTTGCTCGAGAACACAGCCATTGGACTATGGAGAATGGAGTGCTGTACTTTTTACAGATGAGTCAAGATTCGCTCTTCGATCTCCAGATGGGCGTGAAAGAGTGTGGAGAAAAAGAAACGAAAGAAATGCAGCCTTTAATTTTTCCCAGAGCCAACCGTTCCAACGTGGTTCCTTAATGATGTGGGCTGGGATTTCAATGGAGCGGCGCACAGAATTGGTTGTTGTTCGTGAAGGGTCTTTGACGGCCATTCACTATATAGATGAGATTTTGGAACCTCATGTGTTGCCTATCCTCAACGAAATCGGCGATCGTTCTATTCTAATGCACGCCCACATGTCGCCCGCATAGTGCAGATGTTCCATCAACAAAACAATATTGAGGTTTTAGCCTGGCCAGCACGTTCTCCAGATTTGTACTACATTGAGCATTTATGAGATAACCTCGGAAGACGAATAAGAGCGTGTGTAACACTTCCTGATACACTGCAGGACTTTGAAAGGGCTCTTCGGGAGGAATGGGCTATCCTCCAGCAAAGGGACATTTCCCGACTGGTGGAAAGTATGCCGAGGCGTCTTCAAGAAGTAGTGAAGGCAAGAAGAGGAAACACACGCTACTAAACGATGATCTAATTAATTTCTTTTAGAATAATAATGGTTCATTTTGGAATCTTGGAAATATTGGAATCTAGAATCATTTCATTGAATTAAGGATTAAGGGTTATTGTCCTCTATATTAACATTCCTAATTGAAAACAAACAAAAAGATTACCTATTTATTCATTAAAAACAATAGACCAATCCAAAGCAGAAACATTTTTAGATGAAAACATGAAAAAATCAAGTGGGTGGAATTTTTTGCCTGTCAGTGTATATTATAGTCTGTTAATGAAACTGTATAATACTATGGTATAAAAACATTTAAAATATAATCATTTCTTAACCACATAGTAATAATTAATTTCTTATTTATGTATCTGATGATGACTTTAACAAATAACCCCTTGGTGTAACAATAATCACAGTTACACAAACGTGGCATCAAGATCATTGATAATTTTAATTGCTATATAATATGGTAAAATTGAGGGTTTTAGATTCCAAAAATCGCAATCGAAGGAATATGATGGATTAGTGGAACTTCAAAGCTTAACTTCTGAAGTCTAAAATAGGAAGATTATATAAATTGAAATGGTTTTTTTTTATAAATCATAAGTTTAATCTGTTTGTCAAATTTGTATTTTATATACAGATAATCACTCCAACACCCTAAATTAATCCATATTGATTAAATAAAACCAATAATGACTTTAAAACTGATTTCTTCACTATCGATTTGCATCCTAGGTAGATTGCTACATATGCAATCTACTTTAATAAATCCGATAAGAACAACCAAATTTCTGGCCATTATAATGGCTACATGTTTTGGTTATGATACTATCCAGTATCATGGCATGAGTGTATAACTTCTCTTTTTTTTTTTTTCACAAGGAACCACCAACAATCTTCAACAATTTTTCAGGTTGGTCATCATCTCTGTCATCATTGGGGGCAATAGTATGTTTATGCTTATGGAGCACTTAAATTTGTGAGGTTTATTATAAATCTTCATTCCTAATTTTCTAAATTTTATTATCAAATATAATTTTTTTTAAAAAAGCTAAAGAAATACTTTTTTCTTGTCAGAAAAACAATAGTATTCATATGATTGATATTGTTTAATATGTTTCCTTATAAACCTGTTTTCTTAATTGTTTATAAATCATAGAAACAATTCCATGGTTTGTTGTAAACTTATAACTGAATATTATAGTGAGCAAAAGTTTCTACTCTTAGTTATAAACATTTATATTGAACATTTAATAGTTGACTGTTGCATTATAAAGGAAGGAGATGGTCCAGGGTGGCGGTCATAAATAGGCTAAATAGTGATAAAACTATTTTATTAAAAGCCAACGTTTCGACCCGACTTTGGAGGTCTTCTTCAGGGAGGTGTGTTTAGCTAGGAGTTTCACTTAGAACTGAATTTCACTTAGGCCAGTTGAAAATGAAACTCCTAGCTAAACCCACCTCCCTGAAGAAAACCTGCAAAGTTGGGTCGAAACATTGGCTTTTAATAAAATAGTTTTATCACTATTTAGCCTATTTATGACTGCCACCCCGGATCATCTCCTTCCTTCATAAACATTTATGTTTTTCGCAAATGGCCTGATATAAAGTTTAAGAGCCATCACTATGATCACATGATTAATACCAAATTTCGTTAATGACTAGGAACATTAGATACACAACACTAATTTTATTACGTAAAAAAATATATAAATATTGATGAATAAGATTTTTTTAAACTTATTAAAAAGAAAATTCCTTTTATTCATAATTTTTTGTAGAAGACTAATTACAATTATTTTACAAGTAAGATACAGGGATAAAATACAGACCTTTAATTATTAAAAATCTTATTTGTTTAATTGAATTTTCTAAAATTCAAGTAAACTTGGTAAATCAAAGTAATAAGAAATGAAAATATCTGGTGAATAAACTAACTATTGGTGGAAATTCAAAATGTAATAAAAGTACAACAAAAAAGAAAACTAAGATATCTTTTTTAATGTCTCATCTAGTTTTGGCTGAAACTTAAGCAGCTTTGAATAGTATGTCAATAAAGTTCTCCAGTAGCAACGAATATCTTTCATTCTCAGTTTGTTACGAATAAATTTATAGCCTTTAAAAGCAATTTCTTGGGCTACTTTATCTTCTTTTAGAATAAAATTCATTAATTTCCTGAAAAAAAAATTTTTTTTAGAAATAAGTGAAAATCATCAAATTAACTAAAACAATTTGTACAAATAAATATAAAAATTATAGATAGTAAAGACTTCGATCAGTTATTAATATCTAAATTATGGAACAACTTTTTTTTTTAAATCTTTTTATCAAGAAATGATACATTTTGCCACACTTAAGCACCAAGTATTAGAGATAGGTCAGGCATATTCATACCAAAATTATGGCATAACAGCACAAATCAGGTAAAAAACAGGATCTAATTTTAATTCTAATTTAAAAAAGAGATATAATTTCTAGAAGTGAGAAATATTAATGTCTTGATGAAGAATCAATTGTTTTTAGATGCAACTTATAAGTTAGGTATATTATACTTAGAAACTCCTCTCAAGACTAATTTACATTTGTTATTTTCAATGATAATCTTGGAAGATTTGCCTAAAGTGATTAGTGTTGATTAGCTTTCATTTTGTTTCATGCAAAGGATACATCAAAAATGAATGCTAGGAGTTAACAGAATATTAGAAAGGAGGTTACTGATACTATTCCACTTTGGATGACATCAATCATCAAGTTTCTGGAACCGATGATTCATCCTAAACAAAGTTGTAATGAAAAATGTAAAAAAATTTCTGATCCCAGGCCCTGTGAAATGAAACCTCGAGGCAGAGCGTTCTTGTTTTTGATTATTCCTGGTTTAACTATAGTATACATATGTATATATATATATATATATATATATAATATATATATATATATATATATATATATATATATATGTATATATATAAATTAATTTTATAGTTTTTTAATTAATACTATAGTTTATAGTCATATATCGAAAATTGTTATTCCCAACTAGATTTGAACATTGCCAACTAACCTTGGGAGATAAAAGCTAAAATAAAAATGATTGGAACATGGTTTGAAACATAACTTAATATTAAGCACCTAAAGTTTCACATTTGAAACTCATGGTTTGACTCACCAATCTCTTTAAGCATAATAGTCTGTTGTTGATATGTGTGTGTGTGTATATATATATATATTTTTTTTTAGTACATCTTTTTGTTTATTTTTTCTGTATACACTTTTTCTTCTCTTAGTTTTATTTACTGTAAATGCTTTTTTGTATTTTCTATTTGCTTTAATTTCTCGCTTCCAAACACTGACTGTTTCACTCCAAATCCTTTTCATGTCTAGGACCCTAATCACCTGTCATATTAACTCTCAATCCCTTCCTGCCCACTATGACAAATTTCTGCAATACTTTACTCAAAACTTTTATCATATTTTCGTGATATTTGAAACCTGGCTGAAACCTTACAAGCCATTCTCTTCAGTCTCCTTGCCTAATTACACCCTCTTTCTTCATGACCAAGTAATCCGACCCCAATTATTTTTTTGTTATATATATTAATTTTTATAATAATTTTTTATATATTAATTTTTTAATATATAGCATTTATTTGACTGCGCCCCCCGACCAATTCTTCATATTATAATCACGGTCAACCATCTCTAAACCATTATATTTATGCTTCTTGATTTCTCCAAAGCCTTAGATTCCATTATTCATTCCATCCTTTTCAACAAACTAAAATCATTATCCTTCACGAACAGTTCCATCTTTTGGTACAATCTTTCCTCTCCTCACAACGTACCAGCAGTTTCCACATCCAATCAACCACTATCTGCTTACCTTTCTTTATCCTCTGAAGTTGTCCAGGATTCAAGCATATCTCTTCTTCTTTTCAGTTCCTATATTAACGACCTACATGATTCAATCCTCCATTGTCCCACCATGTTTATGCCGACGATTCTCAAATCTATCTGTCCTTTTCTCAATTTGATAAAATTCAAGATCTATATCAAATCAGTGCCTCAGCAAACAGATTAAGGCTAAATGCAGCTAAAATCCAGGCCATTGTCATTGGTTCCAAGCCCCTTCTTAGATCCCATACCAATCGTCCTACGCTTTACCTAAATAACCATCCCATCACCATAGATCAAATCATCAGCTATCATTGTCCTTCTTATGCCTACAACCTTCTCCGATTCAAGTCCTCAATCCATTCCCTTACCACAAGATCTCGACCTTCAGACCTATACATCCCTTCTCATAGTCTACTTCATTCCAAAACTTCTTTGTTGTCCGCTCTGTCAATATCTGGAATTCCCTTCCTATCAAAATTTAGCATGCTCCCTCTGGTTCCACATTAAAAAAAACCTCCTATTCCAAAAAAAGTCAGATACCTGCTAACTATTGACATTATACATGTATTTAATATCAATCAAATAATCATATGATAATAATGTTCTTAGCTAGGGATAGAACATGTATTTTCTGCTTTCGACACCACTCAATACATCTATTTTTGCTTTCCTACCTATACTAGGTAAGGAAAGTATTGCAATCGAGTCAAATTTCTGATATGCTGTTTTCGACAGATTTATATGTTTCAGAGTCCCCTGAGTCCGAAAACACATTTTTAGCCATTGGTCTGTCTGTTTGTGCCAAGATTTTCTCGGGAACTATTGAACCGATTTTTTTGCTTGTTTTTTGTAGGGTTTTGACTACTAGGCCTGTGATACAAATCGGGTGCTCACTGTGCAATAATTGAAAAACCTATTTTTCTATAGAATGTAGTGCAAAAACGGCTTTAACGATTTTGAAGAAACTTTCCTAGAATGTTCTAATAATGGTCCATTCACTATGGTCCATGTACTAAATTCCCAAGAAAATTCAGAAAAAAAGTTATAAAGAAAAGAAAAAATGTTTTGGGGCCCAACTCGCTAAGTATATATTCTATGGTAAAATGTATGATATAACTTTTGAAAAGTAATTAAATTACAAACAAAACAACAACAAAAAATCATTGAAATCGAACCAGAATTAGCGATGATACAACGTATTCTATTATCTACAATTGTTTTAATTTATGACTTTTCTATCTATACTAGGTAAGGAAAGTATTGCGATCGGGTTAAATTTCCGATATGCTGTTTTTGACACATTTATACCTTTCACAGCCCCCAGAGTCCGAAAAATAGCCTGTTTTATTATTATTATTTTTTTTTGGAAGGTAATGAAATTCCCTACAAAACTATACAATAATCGTTCATTTCGGATAACTATTAACGAAGTTACAGCTATTCAATTTTGTATGTAAGATTAAGGGTTCATATTCCGGGTGTCAGAAAGGAGTGAATGAGAGATTTTTTGAAAAGAGGAACTCACCAGATTTTTTATTTTTTAATGGACATATTTTTTATTTCTTAATGACATTTACAACTGTATTAAATAAATACATCTAGCCAATTTGAACATAATGGATATAATGACATGAAAACACTTGCTGAGTAACTACCCAATGGTAGCACTCTAATGATATGACTACATTAGGAGATCACGGGGCCATCTTCTTTTCAGACGCCTCGGAGGATTATCAGGAATTGAAGAGGAAGCAAGGTTAGAAACGAGAGGGTTGGGATGATTCTGAAGTTTATTATGGAAGGATAGGTATCTGGATTGGGCCAGATCTGAAACAAAAGAAACATTAAGGTCATTATGGATGGTTTTATTTGTAACAAAGTAGGGAGCATTGAGGATTTTACAAAGGATTTTGGATTGTAAGGGTTGGATACGAGAGGAATTTGATAGTTTAGTGGAGCCCCATAGCTCAACTCCGTAAGTTCAAATAGGCCTTATTATAGTCAAGTATATGAGTCTTTTGTAGTTAATTGGAAGTTTAGAGCTTTTTTCTAGTAAGTGCTGAAGTAATCGGAAACGTCAAGTATGAGGATTCAGTCTAGTATGAGGATTCCAAGTTAGTCGTTTGTCCAGGTAGAGTCCTAGGTATTGGATTTGCTCAACAGGGATAAGTGGAGTATTGTTAAAGGGAACTGTAGGACAGTAAGTCATTGGTTTACGACGGAGGGTAAAGGTAATTTGGTGGGATTTATTGGAGTATGGACATATTTAAAGATATAAAAACTTAACTGAAATAGGTAGGAAAGTCGTGTGAGTGGACACACCAGATTTTTTTATTGCTTATCACTAATATTTTTTCTTATATACAATTAAACAGAAACAGGCATCTTCTATAACAGATGATCATGCTCTTCTTATGATGTATTTACATATTATCCATCATTTACATAATTAGGTTTATATTGACAGATTCAGCTTTCATTTTTCTAAGGAAAAACTTACATCTTTTTTATGAGAAGAATTTAATTTATTCTGTCAATTTTTTTTTCTTCACTTCTTGAAGTGTATACTTGTGCTGTTCTACCATTATATATAGTTTTAAATGTTTTTTTTTTCATAGTTCTAAGCGTTTTGTTCATATTTTTAAGAGTTTTGTACATCTTATTATCTGTTTTGTATGTAGCTTGTTTACTTAAGGTTTTCTTTAATTTTATTTATTGTTTCAAATTTTTAGGACAGAAGTTGTCTTTTCTATTTATCTATCTATTATAAATACACATACAACATAAATAACATTTAACCTGCCTGTAATCATTTTCGGTGTCATCAGTTCTCAGTGGTATATAATGAACCCATGGCTTCATATGATTATAGAAAAATTCGTTCCATTCATTTCCAATATGAAGGACAAGTGATTTGCATAAAAATAAATACTTGAATCTAAAACTTGCAGTAACTCCTCTGAAATTAAACAAATACCGATATATGCAGTGATCTTCAAGAGCCACTTCTTCTGCTGGAGGATATCCAAGTGTGTCCTGAAATTTAAAATGTAGTTTCATAAAAATTCAATGAAAGGGTTAGAAATTAATCTCATTAAAGCATATTGTTTCTATCTTAAGTTTATTATTTTCAATAATGAATCTTTGTAATCTAACTTAAATTTAAAGATATGTTTGAAATATATATTTAATAAGAAAATCCACTTGTCTGCTATCCATGGTTTGTTTTTTGTTTTTTTTTTAGATTGTTACCCTATTGTCTCAGGGCTCGAAAATCTATTCTCTGGTCATAGTCCGCTTATCCTAATTCCCAAATCACCCCTACCTTTCATAAGGGGCACAGTTAACTGGAACCTTTTTCAACAAATATTAAACAAAAAAATTGACCATATAGTATCGCAAAAAACTCCCTAAGACCTAGACGATGCTGTAAATTCCTTCACGAATTCGATCCAACAAACAGTTTGGACTGCTTACTCACCTCTTCCTTCCCTGAAATACCGCAAGCAAGATCCTTTACCTCAAAACCTTGCAGACCTCATTCATACCAAATGATGTTTCAGGAGCCACTGGCAAAGAACCAGGCATCCTGACGACCAGAAATTATACAACCACCTTTCCAAACTGTTGAAATAGAAATTGGCCTCCTTCAGATCCCAATCCTTCAATTCCCACCTCTCCTTGCTCACTACTTCATTACTCTCTTTGGAATGTAACAAAAAAAATCCTAAAATACCATACCATTTCCCATCCTCTCCAGCCTGATGATGGCTCCTGGGCTTTGTTATATGAGAACAGGGCAGAGGAATTTGCAAAACAATTATCCAAAATATTCATTCCCCATCTTGAACAAAATTTCTCTCACATAGCCAAAGCTAAAGAATTTCTCTCTTCCCTGATTCCTCTCTCCTTACCTCCAAAATCTGTCAACCCCTTTGAGTTCAAATTCCTTATAAATAAACTGAAATCCAGAAAATCCCCTGGACTTGAACTCCTCACTTCCCAGATCCTTTGACAACTTCCTAAAAAAGCTATTATATTCCTTACCTACCTATATAATTGTATCCTTCGTACTACCCACTTTCCTCTGATATGGAAACACTCCATAATCATCCTTTCCCTTAAACCAGGCAAACCTCCCAATGACACTTCATCCTATAGACCAATAAGCCTTCTTCCAATTCTTTCGAAAGTATTTTAAAAAATCCTTCTCAAACGAATCCTACCCATACTCGAATCCCAAGAAATTCCCTCACATCAGATTGGTTTCCGCTCAGGACATTCCACAGTTCAACAAGGTCTTTGCGTTGTTGATCACATATCCTCTGCACTTGAAAGCAAGCAATATTGAATCAGTGCCTTTCTGGACGTAACGCAAGCTTTTGACCAGGTGACAGGATGGCTTGCTTTTCAAACTCAAAATCCACTTACCCTAATCCTTATATTTAATCCTAAGATAATACCTTACCAACCGTTCCTTTCAAGTACGCTGTGGCACAGAATTCTCCGACCATTATTCTTAGCTAGAAGCTGGTGTTCCACAAGGCAGCGTCTTTTGTCCAGTTCACAAGTTTATACAGTCCGGTACTTGGGCTTCCTTCTAGACAAGAGACTGACATAGAACCCTCATACCAGACTTAAAAGACAATAGCTAAACCGACAATTTGGACAATTATATAGACTACTGAACAGAAACTCACATCTCTCAACTGATAACTAGTCTATAAGACCATACTAAAACCCATCTGGACGTATGGACTTGAACTGTGGGGAACAACTAAATCTTCGAACATCAAACGTATCCAATCCTTTCAATTCAAAGTCATTCGAACAATAGTTAATGCTCCATACTACATCACAAACAAAACCTTACATCATGATCTCAACAACCCCTTTGTCCTCAACGTAATTCCATACAAATTCTCAAACTTTCATAAAAAACTTATCCATCATCCTAATCCCTTAGCACAATCCCTTTCCAGCTCCAACCATCCATATAATCACCCACGAAGGTTGAAACGGCAATGGCCCGAGATCTATTATAAATATTCTATTGGAGTTCTGGCAGTGGCCAGCTTGTCCACTCAAGTCTTGAGCGTATGTGGCTTTAGAGCTCTTACTCAGTCTCCACTGGCTTTAAACAGTGATGCAGCTGGGAGAGAAGTACTGGGATCTCTTTGAGCCCTGCTTTACCTTTCACGTGAGAGCGGCAAGGCATAGTTCAGAGTTACCTAGGCTGAATGTAAATATTGTACATAGGAATGAATGTGTGACAAGTATTTTTTTTTTTTTTCATGCTTTGCTATTCTTTCAATGTATTTTTTTTTTACATGTATATATTTTTACTTTTTACCTCGCGCGGGCTCATTACCGCGTATGGGGAGCGTCCCACGGGTGGCGGATGTGGGGATGGTCGGTGGAAATTCCTTGGAAGTTCCTCCCGGCTAAGTCCGATGGACTCGCTGACCAACAATGAGAGGGGCCCTCCAGACTTGCTGGAGGGAGGGGACCTCCAGACTTGCTGGAGGTAGGGGCCCACCAGACTTGCTGGAGGGTGTGACATAGGATTGAACGCCCTACTCACATATCTTTAGTTCACCAAACACCACAAAAAGTCATGGATCTCCCTAAGGTAAAACGCTCATTATCCGGAGGTAAACTAGTCCCCCGTTCGGGTCTCCGGGTGGGGACTGCTTTAGGGGATTCATGGTGCAAGTTGAAATATAGGGATTTAAATATTGGTACGTGGAACGTAAGGAGTTTAAACACAGCAGGGGGGCTAAAATCGGTCGCGAATGAGGTAAATGGGTACAATTTGGATGTCGTGGCTCTGCAAGAGGTTCGCTGGCCAGGGGAGGGCTCGATGAGGGAAGGGAAGTACACTATTTGGTACGGAGGAAGCGGGAATCATTGTTTAGGTACCGGGTTTCTAATTAGGAGTAGATTACTATCCGCTTTGAGGGACGTACAATTCTTTAGTGATAGAATTTCGGTAGCTACATTTCAGGGACGTTGGTTTAAAATCGCATTAATAAACATACATTGTCCGACCGAAGACAGTGACGATGAAGTCAAAAGTGAATTTTACGATAAACTCGAATGGGTTTATGATAAACTACCGCGAAACTACATGAAAATAATTGTAGGTGATGCGAACGCAAAGGTAGGAAGGGAAGAAGTTTATATTCCGACGATTGGTAAAGAAAGTTTGCACGAATATAGTAATGATAATGGGATCCGTCTGATAAACTTTGCCATCTCGAAAAACCTGATAATTAAAAGTACGACGTTTAAACATAAGGATATTCATAAATATACTTGGACATCACCGGATTCGCAAACACGAAATCAAATCGATCATGTCTTGATACAACATAGCTGGCAAAGCAGTATAATTAATGTACGGTCTTATCGCGGAGCAGAATGTGGGTCGGATCATGAATTAGTAATCGCGAAACTTCGACAAATACTTAATATAAAAAAGAGAAAAGAAAACCGTTTCGATTTTGAGAATTTTAATTTGGAAAAATTAAAAAATCCATCAATTAGAAACCAATTCGAGCTAGATGTTAAGAATAGGTTTGAAGCTTTAGAGCTTCCTGACGATGACCACGAGGATATTGACAAGTTATGGATAGAGATCAGGGATAATATTAAAGCGGTCGGTAACTCGTGTCTAGGAAAAAAGGAAAATAAGAATAACAAACCGTGGTTTGATGAAGATTGCTTAAACATGTGCGAAAAAAGAAAAGCCGCTAAATTAAAAGCTCTAAATAATCCTAGCGAAGACAATCTGGAATACTTCCGAATCTCAAAGAACGAAACGACAAAATTGTTCAAAAATAAAAAAAGGGAGTATCTTAAAAACAAAATAATTGAAATAGAAACTAATAGAATCGAAAATAACGTAAGAGACATGTACAAAGGTATAAACAGATCACGTAAATATGTAGGGCCCGTAACGTCTGGAATTAGGGATGATAATAACAATATTCTGACCGATCCGGTTGACATATTGAATAAGTTTAAGGACCACTTTGACAATATTTTAAATACGAGAAATTATGATCTGTGTCCTCCTTCTGAGTACCAGAGTGCTGAACCGTTAATAGAAGGACCAAGTAAAGAGGAAGTTGAAGTAGCTATCGGAAAATTAAAATCATATAAAGCAGCGGGAATCGATAATATTCCTACTGAACTAATTAAGGCATGCGGGGAAGCTGGAGTTTCTAAAATACATCGGTTGGTTAAAAAGATCTGGGTGAACGAGAAATTACCTGAAGAATGGAAAGAATCTATTCTTGTTCCGATTCACAAAAAGGGTCCGAGGACGGATTGTAATAACTATCGAGGAATTTCACTTCTTCCGGTATGTTATAAAATATTCACTTCAATCTTAACCAGTCGAATCACGGAATACGCCGAGGAAATTATCGGAGACTACCAATGCGGATTTAGACGGAATCGTTCGACTATTGATCAAATATTTTCTTTACGGCAAATATTAGAGAAAAAATTGGAGTATAACGGTATTGTTCACCAGCTGTATATAGATTTTAAAAAGGCTTACGATTCTATTGACCGCCAGAAACTGTATAATATTCTAATCGAGCAGGGGATTCCAAAAAAACTAGTAAATCTAGTCAGGATGTGCTTGACGGAGACACTCAATAAAGTTAGAATCGGTAATAATTTGTCCGAAAAATTTGAGGTTCGTTCGGGCTTAAAACAGGGGGATTCTCTTTCGCCTGTCCTGTTCAATTTGGCATTAGAACATGCCATTAGGGAGGTAATGCGAACCGAGAAAGGGTTGGATCTGGGCGGGACAACATCCGTGCTGGGCTATGCTGATGATCTGGTACTGTTAAGCGAAGACGTTGAAACTATAAAACTAAATACGACAACGTTAATGAAAGCCGGTAAAGAACTAGGACTCGAAATAAACGTGGATAAAACAAAATATATGGTTAGCTGCAAAAATGGCGATACTACTGGTGATATCGATATACATGGTAATATGTTTGAACAGGTAGATAAATTTAGGTATCTAGGTTCTACGATAACTAGAAAAAACGAAATTGAAGAAGAGATTAAGGTTAGACTGAAGGCGGGGAATGCTTGTTATTTTTCTGTGACAAAACTACTTAGTTCGCGCCTCTTGTCCCGGGCCTTAAAAATTAGAATCTATAAAACGATTATCTTGCCTACAGTTCTTTATGGATGCGAAACTTGGCCGCTTACATTAAGGGATGAGCAGCGTCTTAAGGTTTTTGAAAATAAAGTATTGCGTAGAATATTCGGACCGAAGAAGGATGAGTTAACCGGAGAGTTCAGACGGTTACACAACGCTGAATTGCGTGAGCTGTATCCGGGTAATATAATTGAGGTAATTTCATCGCGGCGAATCAAATGGGCTTGTAAAGTTGTTGGGCTTAGTAACGAGAGAATTCCTAAAAGGTTAATATTTGCTGTGCCGAATGGTAAGCGTCCGAGGGGTAGACCGAAGCGAAGGTGGGAAGATTGCATTAAAGCCGATCTGAAGGGACTGGGTTTGGACGGCGAACGGTGGAGGGAGGTTTGTAACAAGCGATTGGTGGTGTCGGCATCGAACCTTCGGGTTCGCTAAGCCTTATTATTATTATTTATATATTTTTACTTACTTGTTTCCTTCTTATTTTATTTTTTCTCAATTTATATTTTAAATTGTTTATAAAATGTATGAATGTAAACACAGAGCCGTAATGCTTAATGCCCTAGAGTGTGGCAGATTGTATTATTTTCTTCAATAAAAAATATTCAGATTGTTACCATAGAATAATCCTTTTGCTTCAAAATAGCAGTTGACAAGAGGTTCCGTAGGCCATTTATGAAGAAAAAGAAAAACGTGAATAAAAAGTCTTTTGGTATTATTATGCCAAAGCCTTTTAAAAAATAACTCCAAATAGTTTTTTTTTTGGGAATTTTTTTTATTATTTTGGTTTATGAAAATAATAACCACAGCATAACAATTTTCAGCCTTTTTATGATATAATAAACATTACACAGTTTAAAATAACAAAGGAGATTTAAATCACTTTTAAAAGAGTTAATAGACCTGATTACTAGTTAGAAACCTAAATGACACAAATATTCTAGTTATCAAATTATTGAAGTATCATCATAAAATCATTAAGCACTAAAGATAAATTTAATGTCTGAACTATTTAACAAAACTTTACCTTGTCTGATTTCCACGCTTGGTTTTTGGTGTAAGATGCATTTACTAAATCTTTCTCTTTTCTAGACAATTGGACTATAACATCTCTTTCTGAGCTTGTTCTAGATCCCCGAAAGAAAAAAACTTTCTTTTTTTCTTCCCATTGTATTTCCTTGGAAACAGATATTAGTTTTTTCCTGTGTAGGTCCCAACGACCCAAACCTTTTGGGTATATCTTAATGGCAGGCCCACCATCCCAAAAACTCCATGCTGGATACATAATGTCATAATAGTCTTTCGTCTAAAATGATACAGTAAATTATAGGAAAAATTCAAAAGATATAATGGAATCAATAAGATAACTTTTTCCAGGTTAATCTGATTGCTTCAAACAAGTTCTCATTAATAAAGACCTCAGTCAATAAAAACCAATACAATCGTCACTAAAATGATATACATAAACATATTTAAATCAATTTGATGATAAAAGGACCTATTATTAGAATTCCATGTGTTTTCAACTTCTAGATAATGAAATAACTGTCATTTATTAAATTTTTTTTCTACCTTACTAAACGAAAAAACAGGAACTGGGGATCCATGGTGTTTACTTATTTGTGGCCAATCATAAAAATTAATCACACATTCAAAGTCAGGTAATTCTGATTTAAGTTGTATTAAAAAATACTCTACTCCATTACATCGTGTAGGGAATAAGCATTCTTGACTTCTATACAACTCGTGATTAATTATTTGGTATTTAACACCCCTAAAACATAATTTTAATATTGAAAATCAAACAATAGATATTTCTGATGTTAAGATATAAGATAGACAAAAATAAAATAACTATCCCAGAGGTCATAAAGATACAAAACAAATAGATTTGGGGAAAAAAATAAGCTATTCAAGTCATCAATCTTCCTTTAAAAAAAAAAAAGTTACTTTTAATAAATGAAAAGGTGGAATATAAATATACAGAGTTTGCTCACTCAAAATAATAAATATTAAAAAATATATATAAGCAAAAACATTACTTGAAACTTCACTGACATGCAATCTGTTCATTGCCCAATATGATATTTCCAAATATAAGCAAGAATAACTAATCCAGAACTCACCATACCTATGAAATTTTTAATCATAATAATAAGTCATAATAATTCTGTTAATAAGAAATGAATCTGCCAAATTAATAACCATTGTATTGCCACTACCAAAAGTCTAACAGGTGTATGACTATATAACAAAGTTTTGAAGGATGACTATTATACCGATTTGTTTAGATCATTATTTCTTTTGAATAACAGCTATTCAATTACTTTTTTAAGCTCAGAGATCTGATTTCATTAAACCCATTAGTTAAAAAGTTCACCTGTGTAATAATCCAGTCTCTATTCTATGATTATAAGAGCAACAGTTCACACTAAACCCCAACTCAGCACCTGATGTGCGCTCAGTCCTCTGCACTATTTAGTTTTTCCACCCTCTATAATCATTCAGAGAAGCTTTCTTCGCCATTCCTGTATTTAGTAACTAGAAGCTGGTGATTGTTTAGAAATACCTTTCACCCTTAAGAAGTTATAAATCTTCAAGTTTTAGTTAGATGAAGCATTGTTTTCAAGTTATTATTCATACTAATAAAATAGTTGAATTGTTGAGCTAAAAGTTTTGACCAAGATATTGTTATTTAAGTACTTTTATTTTCAACCTTCAAGAGAGAAAATAAGACTTAATAAGCCCGTTTATATGTTTAAGTTTCTTGATCAAAGTTGTGATGAATAGGAAACATATTATAACACAAAATGCACTTAAAAATCTAAGCTGTAAAAACCTCAAAGTACGCCCAGATACTCTGATTACTTTGTGATTCATCGATATCTTGTTTACTTAATTACTTTCTCTGTATATTTAATATTTATACGTATTTATATCTTTTTATTACTTATAACTTTATTGTATTCCTATTATTGTATTTGTAACTTGTTCTAAAGGGACACTAGTCCCAGAATAATAAAATTATTTTCATTTTCATTATTTCACTGGGTATGCCAGGAAAGTAACTTTACTTTGCTACTTTATTTCAAAATTGTAATGGAGAAAAGAACTTGAATAGAAGGGTTTTGATTGACAAAATTAAGGAACTATTAATAAAATAAAAATCACATGTGTTTCAACAATTTATTGATCTAGAAATGCATTTTATCACATAAAAGAAACTAACATGGCATTTCATAAACACATTGCTTTTTTAATTTGTAACTATTTTATAGAAAATTTTAGGTGAAATAAAAAAAATCTATACCTCTCACAACTTTTTTATGACAAATAGGAACTTTTATTTATTTCTTTGGGAAGTTCTGATATTTTTAATTATAAAATATTATTATTATTCACCCCCACAGACAATTAGTTTACATATTTTGTACTTATACTTCACCATGAAACTAATCTCAATTAATTTGAAAATTGCTTGGACCCAAAGTTGACATTTTAATTTGAAAAATAAAATTGTGAAACACAAAAAAGACTAACAATCATACAACGAAATAATAGCTCTCTACAGAACATGTTTTGAAAAATAGTATGGTTCCTGAACATGAGGAGTGCTTTTATGGTTAAATAGAAAATTTTCAACATGTTGGAACAATTTCAATCTCATAACTTATAAAGCCCTATTTATTTAATTTCTTTTATAGTTTCATAACATTAATTTTATTTTTAACAATAAGAAATTAGTTCATATTAAAAGACAATAACAATCAGAGGTAAAAGAGGTTTTTTAATTAAATAGTCTGTATTAAAATTTTGGCAATATGACTACTATGTTGAATGGGTCAATCCTAATCTCTATGGGAAAAAAATATCCTGTTTCTAGATTCAATTTGTGCTTCTATGTTTTAGCACATAGATACAGCATCACAATTATATGTAATGAATATATCATTATTTTCATCAGATGTAACCATCTGTTAGGAAACAGCAAGAACTTATTCAAGGTCCTGATATAATTAATAATTAAAACAGCTGGCAGCACCAGTACTATGAGCATTTCATTTCAAATGGTAATACCATATTCCCAAGAACTATTGTCGGTAATTTTGGCCTTCAATGTAAGTTAGCTACAACGTAAACAACATTTTTTTTCATGGTAGTTTTGTGTCAAATAAAGAGTGTTTGCAGGGAATTTCATTAAACTATTCAAAAGAAATATGCAGCTAAAGCAAACAGAATTCTTGTTGAGACTTATGGTAAGCATGCTGTCAGAAATGTGGAGGCTGGTTTTGGCACTTCAAAAACAATGATTTAAATTTTGGAGATGAAGAAAAGTAAAATTACTTAATGGGTTTCCACATAAGACACTAGCTGAACTTGAAAATTCATTACTAGTAGATGACACAATGATTTCAAAATGTTGAAGCTACGAGATGTTAAACGATGTTTTTCACATGTTAACTGCTGCTTCACTGGCAGAAAATGAAACATTTTTCATTGTTTCATGACTGGTGAAGAAAATTAGATTCAGTATGATAATCATGACATCACCCACAAAGACAAATATCCATGGTTTGGAGCTTCTCAGCATTTGGTAGGATCACTGTAATTTATTATGAACTAATCAAACCTAACAAAACTTATCATGGAATATCATTACCAACTACAATTAATACAATTAAGCTGATCCCTAAAGGATTATAGAGTCTCTGCAGCTAAACGAGCAAAGACACATGGTTGTGCCAAAGAATGGTTTAAATTTCCCGCGTTACGGCGAGTGGTGAGGGCAGATCTAAAAAATAAAAGATAACCCTTAAGCCTCAAGAGTGCCTAGTTGGCTTGCCCCACTTCATTGGCAGTCACGGAGACAGCACCACCAGATGCACGGAGGGCCCTCCAGGTAACAAAAGATGTAAGCTTCCATAAAGACGGTAAGCTATTTTTTGCACAATCATTAACGTTAATCCTTGCCTGCTTTGCTGAACTTTGAAATGGTTTTGAATAAAAGACCTGCTTTGCTAAACTTTGAATTTATTTTGAATAAAAGACCTACACCACTGAACATTAAAATTTAATTTGGAATAAAATTGGGTTTTGCCTTAAGCAATTAAATATTGATTTGAATAAAATTAAGTTTGGCCTTCAGCAATTAAAATTTAATTTTGAATAAAATTGGGTTTTGCCTTCAGCAATTGAAATTTGATTTGAATTTTATTTTTTTTCTCTCTAAAACTTTTAAGATCCCACCTACTATACCCAATAAGGGTATTGAGCGAATTAAAGCTATAAATGATAGAAAGGAAAGGATGTTTCTTCGAATTCAAACCACATACGATATGATTAAGGGTCTCGCTGATAGAAAGGAAATTTTTATGGTTAGAGCTTCAGAAATTAAACCGCAACAAGAGGAATTCGAAGCAGAGTTTAACTAAATTTCCGTACTAAATGAATCATTAGATGAAGAACATAGAATAGAAGTAAACGCACCATCTCTAGCGACGGAAGAACTTTATTATGAAATAAAAGTTGCGCACGAGAAATAAATTAAAGCTGAGCACATAGTTTCCGCTTCTCTTGCCAGATTTGCAAATTCCTCCATTTTCCGGTGAGTACGAACAATTTCCCTCATTCAAATCATTATTTGATGCCTTGATTCATCACTGAAATTATACAGAAATAGGAAAGTTTTCATACCTCAAATCACTTTTAGTTCATCCTGCTTCACAAGCCATTTCTTCAATCGAGTTTAACGCAGAAAATTACAACTTGGCCTATGATAAATTAGTAAAGCGCTACAGTAATAAAAGGATCATTACAGCCTATCAGCTTAATAAAATTATACGGTTTAAATCCTTTCCTGTTGATAATTCTACCAACTTCGGAAGCTTTCTGGATACATTTGAGGATAATTACAACGCCTTAAAAAATCTTAAGTTACGATAAAGTTAAGCAATGGCGAGCGTGGTTAGCACTTGAATGGGTGACCGTCCACCAGGGAAAGCCATGCTGCCCGAGATTCCTCCCGGGTATGAGGCCTATCAGCCTACTGAAGGGAACTCACACCGACCAGGCCTAGGACTGATGATCCTACCCCCGTGTACTTAAATCGATAATCGGGATGTGGTCTAGAAGACCACATCTCGCGGTCAAAGATCTAACAGGTCTGTAGCACCAACTGAAAAAAAAAAAAAATCTTAAACTCCACAACCTTGCTGATTTTATTTTTCTGCATCTTGGACTGAACATTGTAGACCCGAATACAAGAAGAATGTTTGAGAATAGTCTGAGAGAAGAGACAGTGCAAAACTTTGAAGAATTTTGCAAGTTTGTTAGGTCACAACTTCTAACCTTCAGAGTCGCAGGAATGTATTCCGAGCCGTCTAAAACCATCCAGCCTAAAGTTCAGCGAAAAACATTTTTAACCAGCAATCACAATTGACCGGATAAATAGAAAATTAATTTAGAATGCCCAGTTTGTAAATCTCCAAACGCTGTGAAACCGCTAAAATCCTACCTGAAAATGTTTAAATGGGAATTCGTGCTCTATTCATCATATTCACCAGATATATCCCTTTCCGATTATCACTAATTTTGTTCAATGGCACTTGTCCTGGCTGAGCAGTACTTTGATTTTTATGAATTAAATAGATTCTTGGATAGCATTAAAAGGAAAATATTTTTTTCTGACATGGAATTCATACAGTAACAGAAATATGAGAGAAAATAGTGGCCAGTAATGAGCAATACTTTGAGTGAGATTTTTTTTACCACATACTATAATAAAACATTAATTTTCACCAACAGCGAGAACTTATTTAAAGTACTGATAAAATCTCATTACTCAAAACTCCTTTATAAGGTTTTTTATTGGATATCACCACAACTAGGCACAATGGCTTTTTTTGTTTTTGGCTCCTTCACTCAACTTTGAAATGATTACCTGGCATTATGACATTGGAAGTAGCCATGAGATAGATCCGAACAGGGTCATGAGGATATATACTTCACTAGTTGACATAACATCTAGGGTTTGGGGTTGCTATGGTGTTTATAGGAGGAACAGGTAATGGCCATAAGAAGAAAATGAAAAATTTCCAAAGAAAGTAGGGTTAGTGATTTTTATTAAAAAATCAATAAATACATGGTATGCAAAGAAAGAGGGAACAGGTTTATGGAGAGTACTGGAAACTGAATTTCAAGAGAGTACTGAAGTTTAATTATCTGGACTTTTTATCACTGAAGATAATATCAGAGAAGAAATATAGTCAAGGATAATAGCTGGTAATAGTAATAGTTGGTTTCTGATGAAAAGCTTTTAAAGTCGAGATACATCCAGAATAAAATTACCAGTCTTTAAATCAGTTGTTATTTATGAAAGGAAGAAGTACTGGACTCAGATACTCCAGCCTGAACTTTCTTAAATATGTGGGAAAGCAAAGTTATTCAACAAAAAAAAATTACCTACGAAAGAACAGAATCTTAGGTGGATTAAGAAAAATGAAGACCTGAACAACTTTATAAGAAGCCTAACATACTACATCCACCATAAAAGGGACAGAAAAAGATGACTGGGTCATGTACAAAGAATGGAAAGGTGTAGGCTCCCTAAAATAACAATGGATGGGCATCCAGGTGGAAAAAGGACTGGTAAGCCTAGATTTTGTGACGCAGGATGCGGAGGACCAACTTTAAATTCTGGGTTTAGGAATTAGGAGAAGGAAAGATGAGATCGGATCTGAGTGCAGGGGGCCAAAGCCCTGTGAGCAACAAAGTAACTAATTATTTCTACAATACAAAATTTAAATATAAAAACTTTTTTAATTGGCTAAACCTATTTAAGAGTAAATAGAAACTGAAAAACTGTAAAGGTGATAGTAATTTTAAAAAAAATTGTAAGCTTTATTTTCTTCGGTCAAAGTCTTTTAGGGATCAAACACATTAGCCTAAATTTATGGGTTAAGGCTATTTGGTGTTAGCTAACATGAGAGACTCCACATGGTTATTCATAATTTTGATATCGTGAGGTACCACTAGCGGATCTAGGATTTAATTTTGGGGGGCCTCAGCCGAAAGCTTTTTCATAAAAATAACGATAATTACTTAAAGAAAGTAACTACCTATATGAAATGGTGTTGAAGTGATTCCTAAAGTCCTTTTAAATGTAATTACACGAACAATAATACTTTAAGAGATAATTTTTTAATTGAATATTTAATAGTTGACCGTTGCATTATAAAGGAAGGAGATGTGGCTAGGTGGCGGTCACAAATAGGCTAAATACTGATAAAACTATTTTATTAAAAGCCAACGTTTTGACCTGACTTAGCATTTCTTCAGGGAGGTGTGTTCCGCTAGGAGTTTCATTTAGAACTGGGTTCAGTTCTGTACTGTATTTGACTAGCTAACTCTTGATTGCTTCTTTCTAAGGCTTCAGACCACAAAGAAGTACCCAAGACCTAATATTCGTAATGAGGCAGCTCTCGGAAAAGCTCGTGGAAAAGAATAAAGAGGTATATACCTGCTTCGTGGACCTAACCCAAGCATTCGATAAGGTCAGAAAAACGGACATAGACAGAGCACTGAATGAGCATGAAGTCGATCCAGGCCTAGCGAGGGCCATTCTTAGCCTATATAAAAAGAAAATAAGCGTGGTCAGAACCAATAACCACACCTCTAGGGAGTTTCAGAGCACCCAAGGAATAAGGAAGGACTGTAGTCTAAGCCCTTTATTATTTATAATAGTGCTAAGGAAAGAATGAGACCTTTTAGGTTGGGCCACAGAGAGCTACGACCAGTTCATCTCACCTTTCTGGCATATGCCGACGATATCGTGGTATTCGGGAACAACAAAAGAAACCTCCAATACAACCTCCGAATTCTGCAGGAAGAATTAGAACTGTTCAACCTGCAAATAAACAGCCACAAGAAAAAATTATGAGGATAGGAAGAGGGGAAGAGAGGGGAGATCGAGTACTTCGATTGAAGGGGGAGGAACTGGAGCACGTCAAAGATTTTAAGTATCTGAAAGCCCACCTAAATGAGAACGGTCGGATAGATGGTGAAATCAGAGAAAGAATAAAACTGGCCAGCAAATGCTTCCATTCAGTAAAAACAGGCTTCTTAGCAAAGAGAGAAGTATCAAAAAATGTCAAGAAGACAGTGTATAGAAATACATTTGTCCCCATACTGACTTACGGCAGTGAATCTTGGACTATAACCTGAAAACATAAAAGCAATATCCAAGCAATGGAAATGCGATTTCTGAGGAGAATAGAGTGGAAAACTAGGGAAAAAATTAGGAATACAACGATAAGAAGCAATTTGGGAATAAAACCAGCAGAAAACACAATTGAGAAAAACAGGCTACGCTGGTTTGGCCATGTCCAAAGAATGCAGGAGGGAAGAATGGCCAAAACTATATATCAAGTAAAAGTGGAAGGAAGAATGCCGAGAGGAAGGCCCAGAAAGACCTGGGAAGGTTCAGTCAGAGAGGATTTCGATAGGAGAGGAATGAATTGGAATAGACGCAGTCAGCTGGTACGGGAACAAGATAAATGGATCAAGCTCTATAAACAGGATCCTCTACACTGATCTAGCGGTAGAAGAGGAATTGATTACGAAGAAGAAGAATAAAACAAAAACAGTGAACTGCTGTGTACTGGCTAGAAAATGGTAGTCAATATGAGTAAAATGGAACATGAGATGACACAACATAAAAATCCATTTTGGATTGGTACTGCTTAAATACCCGACTAGGTCACCTGAGATTCTTTACCTTTAAATGAATTTAGGGATTCCCAATCTCAATAGATAGTAGGCATAGGGCAGCCACAAATAAGGCTGATAAGCTTAATTTTACCAACAAACAATAATGAAAGTTAAGTAGGTATTCTTTCTGAAAAATAATAGCAATAAGAAACTAGTAAAAAAAAAAAAAAAAATTACAAAATAGATAATATAATAATGAATGCCTGATATCATATAACTAATACCAAATAATATTTAAATTAAAAAAAGTATTGGTGTTAGATTTACAATAGTATTTAGCAAATAATGCTGGGTTCAATTCTCACTTATCTTACCTTCGGGAAGGAAACTATAAGCCCTAGTGTGCTTATGTGACAGACTATAATGATCCATATGACAATTATCTAAATTGTCAATGCCCTGCTAAAGAGGACAATAAATCTTAATAGATTAAACATCTTTCTATAAATTACGAACCACGGCCTCAAACATAAGTTTAAGTCCCAAAAAGAGTGTTCTGTTGCTTTTTCACACATCCCATTCATAATGATTACATAGTAGTTACAGACCTTTAAAACTTACTTGGAGTATGCATTATTTAGCATTTCCTTAGTTATTCCATTCTTAAATATCCTTAAATCATCAGCTATGTTGGATTCAAAACAAGTGTCATTTGAAGGTTGATAGTCAGCGTTCTTTCGAAGATATGTCGTCAAATACACATAATATTCTAAACAACATATTCTCATGAGAAACAAAAAATAAAAAATTAATAAAATTTACAAATTAGAAATACCTTTGCTATAAATATTTTCATTGTTTTCAGAACATTTTCCGCTAATAGAATCACAATATTCATTTGTATTTGATAATTTAATCATTAAAAGAAACGAAACAATTTGTATCAGTTGCATCATACATATGAAAAAATAAATAACAATTAAATAAATTATCACTATCAAAATTAAATAACAATCAAACTGATAAATAATAAAATCGTTTGAAAGATTTCATTTAACTAAACACTAACAAAATCGAATAATAATAATAAAAATTCTACATTTATAAGAAACAAACCGATTTGAATTAATACTCTCAATCCAGCGTTCACTTAGGATTCGGTAGCTTTATTTTTGTTTTTTCTCTTTGTCGTCAAAATCTTTTTAAGTGATGACGTCATCAATGAAAGTTTATATTCATATTATTTTGAAATTGTTGATTCCATCTTCCTCAAAATCGGTTAACTTCATTTCAGCTTTAGACCGCCATATATATTTCACAATCTTCTAATGATTACTCAAAGTCGCGGATACTACTCGTTGCCAACGTTCATAACGAATAAATCAAGTAAGTACGAGTACCTCTTTAAGGACTTAAATTACTGCTAAACCTGATTGTAGAAGTAGTATTTCTAGATCGATTGAGATAAAGTGGATTGATAGAAAGCCCCACAAGTTTATAAGAGTTAATAGCGAAAAATTGAAAAGCTACCTACATAAGTCTGGTTCCTTACTTTAAATAAATATGATACATAAAACATGAGGTGAGGCAACAGGCACTGCTTGGTGATTGTTGCGGCTCTGTGTGATGATGTTTCCTCATCCGAAAAGAGATAAACAAGAAGTCGAAAAAGCACGCATACCAATCGACTTTCCTTTCCAGCCTATCTTATTTTTCTGCATCCTAGAATTTCACATCGAAGGGGACTGCGCTACTTGTAGAAATTCGTAAAAACATACGAAGTAGATTCTTCACACAGTCATCCGAAGAAACAACCGGGTTTACATGGAATGACGAAGTAAGCGAGGAGATAAAAAATTGAGGTTTGAACTATACCTAGTATAGGAGAAGAAAACATGGTCCAGACTATTTCGTAACCTCAGAATACCCTTCTGCCATATTGATATCTACAACCTATCATTGATATTATAAACGTGTTCTCAGGTATCTGATTTTTTAATTTAACACTAATCATAATGAACTACAAAATTTTGTGTGTTAACACTAGTCATACAAAGGATGAGCGCATACTGCGTAATCTATAAAGGAATATGTATGTTTAAATAAGCTTCATACACTTTACTGCCAAATACTGTATATTGAGGCTAGAGTCTCGTGACGATACAGAAAATTAGATATCATCTTTATTAAAATATGGCTATAAATTAAAGTCCTAAACTATGAAATCCAAGTGAACTACACAAAAGAAATTACAATTTATTAGAAGAGCAAAAATACTCTCATTATTAGTTAATCTTAATTGCTAATAAATGGAGAATATGGGGCCGCTTTAAAAATCAATGTAAATCCTTCTCTTATTTATGTTCTATAGATCAGTCAAATGTTCGAAGGTACAGTTCTGTTGCTTGCAATACGTCACATGAGAAGGTCAATAATGTGATTTTTAATGCAGACAAACCTCTGAAAGCAAAGGCATAGCCATCATAATGTAATTTAGAGGATCAACGTCTTTTGAAATAAGAAATCCAAGTATATAGTCATTGCAGGAAGAGATGTCCTGTCCAATACAGCATTGTCTTGAAGAGATACGGAGATAATCTAGAACAGGGTTCTCCAAACTACGGCCCTTCTTTGATTAAATGGTAGAATTTTAAAAACTATTTAAAAATAAGAAATTTAGCAAATTACTTAAACACGAAGTTACTACAACAGTTATTGCATGTATTTTTTTCATTTTAGAAAACTCATTTCACAGTTAAAGTGAGATTTATAGATTAAGGTTTTCTTTTTCATCACAAGCCATGAGCTGCGGGACTAAGGTGCAGGTTTTATGCGGCCAAAAATTTTGGAGACCCCTGATCTATAAGATAGCCTAGAAAGGAGTTTATAGAAAGTTTGGCTTAGTAAATTAATTTCGATCTACTACATAAAGCAAGGCATGTTTAATATATGTCCCAGGAGATGCTTCTATATACAGGTTGTCCCATAAGTAGAGGGAAATTTTTGTAGGAGTAATAACAAACCTCTAATAGCAAAAGTGTCATGTTTTATGTTGAATAGATATTGGTAACTAAAGATATATTCAATTTAAGTAATTACAAATTGGTTCAATGTCAACTAGACAAAATTAAATTCAAATGAATGTAGAGTTTGTCATTATTAAAACCATTTGAAGGACTTTTGCGCGTCCAAACTAAGCTAAGTTCTGCTTCTAAAAAAAATTATAAAATTTTCTTCGTGACCTTTTCTTATCATTATCCAAATATACTACAGATACCTCTCTGTTAGAAAAACTTCCTCGTTTGATAAGCTTTAAATCCCTATTAAGTTGAAGTTTATTATGCGAAACCGTAAGATTCACATCAAGTTATGTTAAAACATGATGTGATGTTTTCCTGTTACCTAAAAGTACCCGTGTTTTAAGCAAAAAATGATATACTTAACTATGGAAAAGTTTTTATTTATTCTTTTTCCAACATCTTGGATGTATTAGAAACACAATTGCATAAATAAACTTTTTATTTATACAAAAGAAATATTTGAAAACAAGTAACTCCTTTCATGTAAAGAGGATATGAAACCGTGTTTTTCTCTTTATATCAATTATATGAATAGCTTTTTATTTATAAGTGACAAACTTAATGTTCCTAGCTCAAAAAATTACTTTTAAAATAAAAAAAACCTACTGATTGCTTTAATTATTTTCATGAAAACTTATTTTCATATCAGGATCAGGAACATTAAATTTGTAACTTATAAATACCACTATTGAGGGCCTCACACTGTTCTACACGGAGTGAAACAACAAAAATGCAACAGACTGCGTTTAAAGTTAGTTGAGCAGTAAAGAAAACAATCATAAACTTCACCCCAGTCATCGAGAGGACAAGTCTTTTACGAATTATTGGTCAATGGTCTAATACCACGATTTTTACCATGTGCACCAACCAAAGATAAATATGGTGAGGTGAAGAATGATTTATACGATCTATTAAAAAAGATTTGGATCACGCTAATAAAGAATACATCTGAAAACTGTTAGCTTAAAAAATACCTATTTGTGTCGGGCAAACTTAGCCATAGAGAAAGCCTCAATTTTTCAAGTTTTAAAGAAACAAAATGGCTATCAAGCAACTTAAAAAAGGGATGACTCGATGATTTAAATTAGGTAGGAGTAAAGGAGTAGGTAGGAGTGAGCCCTGATTAGGGATGAGTAATTGCGATTATAGATCGGAACGGAACGCAACGGATTATTCCACCACTGGAATCCGATCCAGTTCTCGTTCCGTTCCATCTTCGTCTCGAACAACAGTTGAAATGCGATAGAGAATAATGAAGCAAATATGCGCAATACTGAAACTATTTAAAACGACTGTAAAGTCATTGAGGCGGAGGAAAATGAAGATAAAAGGAGAGGAGTACAGAAAAATGAACAAAAATTAATATAAAGCTTTTAGTGTTTTGGTTTTTTAATTCATTCTAAATTTTATATTATAGATTTGTTTGTTTTTATCCTTAATTTTTTAATAAAACTATTTTTTGGTTGGTAAAATCGATATGTTTGTCTTAGTTTTCTTCAAATATTCCCTTACCCCGAGTTACAGAAAAATATTAATGAATAAAAATCCATTTTTGTTTTCTAATTTGCTTTTTTTTTTTTTTTTACTATACACACAATTTAATTAATTTAAGACTTACTAATTTCAAGTAAAAATAACAACACACGTAGGCACTTTAATCCTTATCATAATCATTCCAAATGGATGCTAGGATGAAATCTCAGATTGGAACGAAAACGCAATGTAAGAGAACGTAGAAGCGTTCACATTCCAATGGAACGAGATTCCAAAGTCCCTCGGAACGATAAAGGCCATTCCGGGTGGAACCATTCTGAACCGTTCCAGGGTAGAATTCAAGGCCACTCGGAATGAGAAAGACCGTTTCGGGTGGAACCATTTCGAACCGTTCCAGAGGTGGTTTCATGTGGCTCAATGGTTTCATCGAACCGGTTCAAGAATTTTTTATTACGGCTACCGAGACTGTTTCTTCTTCGTTCTGCCGTTGGAAAAGGACTTACAAATAAAATATTGGGTGGATCCATAAGTTCGTTCGGGTTTTGAAGGATGAAATAAAACATGTTTTTTTCATACAAAAAATAAATATTATTCTAGAATGTATTTTCCGTTTTAATTGATGTCCTCTTGCCATCATTCTAACAATTTAATTATTTCGCTCTCGTGAAACATCTGGGGCTTAGAAGTGGTGGAATACAACCACCTTTGCAGTTGAATAGTTCTGGGCCTTTCTGTCGCAATGCTTGCTGTAATTTCGTTAGCTACGAGCAGTAGAACTTCGAATCAATCCTTTTTCCTTGTGGAAGCAACTGGTGTTATATATTATATATTATATATAATATATATATTATATATTATATAATATATAATATAATTATATATTATATAATATATAATATATAATATATTATAGGCACGCCGCGATAATCTCACCATATGGAGAGCGAATTCTTTCCCGGCATTCGGGGTGGCATTAGGCGGCTCCTCAGCAATTGTCCGCGATCTCTTTCCCACTACATTGTCGTATAAGATCCACTCTTTGTCACCCGTCAATATTCGATTGAGAATGAATTCGCTTCATGCCGGTTCAGAAGAAAATGGCAGATTGATATTCGGTTGCCCAGGTTAGCCTCAGTCACTGTGTGTGACCCTCCAAACATCGAGGCGTACACGTAGCCAAGTTGTTTTAAATGCCTTTGAATAGTTCCAAAACCTTTTTACAGTGTCTCCGCAATTTTTCGTACCTGTAGCGACCGGTCTTCTTCAATTAGAGCCTTGACAACACTCGAATTTCCTACCATTAGGCCTTAAATATATTAAATTACTTTTTACCTAATCATTAAAACCCATGAAGGCCCATGGGCTCAATCAAGCTAAACTGTATGGTTTTCCCCAATTAAGGGTATCTTCTCCACAAAGTTTGAATTGACCTCAAGAAGGTTTCCTGACCCCTGGGTCGACGCAGGACTAATGAAACATATTAAACTGAAAAATAAAACATTTTCAAACTGGGATTTTGCTTGAATGTCCACGGTGTATGTGCACAGGTGGTTATAATTATTTCATATTTAACACCACTTTAAGTTTAAATATAACGAACTCAATTATTTTTGTGTTCATTTTTATTTTGATAAAGTTATCTATTATCAGTTCCTTGAAATGTAATGCTTCAACTTGTAAAGTAAATTTAAATTATTTTTCATTTGTTAGCTCTAGCTATTTCACCGTTATCTTGACGTTTCTTTATGTGTTAAAATTCTATTGGCTACCAAAGAGTATGTAACCTCTTAAGCTACTACCCACCGGCTTTATCACAGACAATCAATGGAGATGAAGCTTTTAATACATTTTCTGGGGTCTTTTGTTTTTATCTTAAGCATTTTCGCTGTATTAAGTAAATGTGATACAGATGTGAAGAAAGGGCCCAAAGTTACCGCCAAGGTATAATATTTATAATTTTTAGTTTAGACTTATTGTTATTAAATGCAGTTTTTTTTTCAGAGTTTATGATTATCCCATGATAATTATATTGACTTATTATTTTTCTGGACTTGAGTACTTTTTTAATATGTTCTATTTTGTTTGTTTCTAAAACAGATTCATTGGGATATTGGTTAATTTTTAGTGGTTTGAATCTTATTCAATTATCATTAGTACTAAGTATTTCTGATGACTTATGTATTGAAACACATAATATTACCATTTTTTAAAGGTTTATAAGGAGACTTCTCCTTAACAATCTCTATGGTTATATTTCAGCAATTGCATTTTTAATGTAGTATTGTATTTATTTCTCATTTTGTATATTTGTACAAACGAATTGATTTTCTTTAGGAATTTGTTTTGGGCACACAAGTTACCATTATTTTTATCATCTGTTGTAGATGTGCAATTATGATCTTAATAATAATAGTACGTGTACAATAAATTGAAATATAATTATAATATAACTTACATCCCCATATTTTTATATTTATGGATCGAAAACCCTTCATCTTACAATCCATAGTACTTGAATACTTCTAATTAAACACATTAATTATTTAGAGTTAGATCTAGTGATAGGATAAGGTTTTATTATTCCTGTTTTAGATAATATGAACTGTTGAAGGCAAGGACTTCACATTCACATACTTAGCCTTTTCTTTGTCCTCTAGGCTGTCGGAAACTGTCACTAATTGGATCTTTCTGAGATAATATTTTGGCAGACAGTGGCCCATAAGGAGACAAGTTATTGTTCTTGATGTTATTGTTTAAATTTCAATTAAGTAAAGGGTTCCAGATTAAGATTAGTTTTCCTAGTGAATGATACAATAGTGGTTTTGTTTAGATTACTATTTAGTTCCTGTCGTCGGTACCATTTTCAGACAATGGTTATGGATATTTCTCTTTTTTCCATCAATATGGTTGCCTTTTTTAATTATGATTAGGTTTTACCCTTTAATTTTAAAACCTTCTCTGATTAATTTTTTCAGAAAATTATAGTAGCCCACAGAATAGGTGAACCCCTCCTTGTGGATATCCTTCTGTTTTTTTGTTATTTTATTTTATCTTATGTTTCTCGTATTGACCATGTAAGAGATACTTTAACAAGATAACTGGTGTGATACTGATATTGCAACAAAGATTTGCATTGGGTCATTTAAGTTTATTTGTAATTTCTTCCATGGAACCTTTCTGTTTTATACCGAGTAATAATTTCATTATAAATAATTTACTAAGATCAGTTTTATAATAATTTTTCATGAAGAAGTCAAAAGTTTTATTACTCAATATTTTTGTGGCATCTAGTAATATGGTTTTTGGAAGAATACTCTAGGAAGCTTAAATAGATCAATAATATTTTATTGTTATGTTTTTAGGTATGGTTCGATATTAAAATAGGTAGTGAGCCTGCTGGAAGGGTAGAGATTGGACTTTTTGGCAAAACTGTTCCTAAGACTGTCAGTAATTTTGTTGAATTGGCTAAGAAACCAGAAGGAGAAGGTTATAAAGGAAGTAAATTCCATCGAGTTATTAAGGATTTCATGATCCAAGGTGGAGATTTCACCAAGGGCGATGGAACAGGAGGTATGTGTTATTTAAATTTTCTGGATATAAGTGTTATAATGGTGAAAATGAATAATTTAAAATTTATTTTTTCATGAATTTGGTTCAAAATTATTTATTATTTTATGTTTTAATTGTCTGAAAAATTAATTGTGATTATTTTTATGAAAATATTAATTTTATTTAATTTATTAGTTTTTTTTTTATATAACACTTTAGTATACGGACTCCTAATCTGGATTCCTCAAGTAGAATTCCCGAACCTTAAGATTGGAAATTCTACTTAAATGTTTATGGGAATTATGTTAAATGTTTCAAGCAGGCTTTAGAGACTAGTAAATCGGCCCTCATTGGGGACCTCAACTGGATTGTTACATTGCACTTGTTGGAAGTTATAAAGAATTACAAAGTCTATTCTTAAAACAACTGAATTAGAAAGATAATATTCAATATAATAAAATTAAAGTATGAAGTAATATTTTAAAGTATATATAATAAAGTCCTTCGTATGTGTCTCATTTTCTTCATCTACATTGCATTTTTTTTTCAGAGGTAGGTGGGGGTACTCAAGATATGATTAACCAGGAGTGCCAAAAGCCTTAAGCTGGCACTGGTTTTATATTGGGAAAGAAACCGGAATCATGCTTAAATAACAGCTAGTCATTGTGAATTTTTTTGTTTTCAGTGTAATAATTAAATTTTTCTTCATTAACCACTTGGCTTCAGCTTCTCTATTGTATTAGGTTCTTTAAGCACTCCAGGTCAAAGTTTAAATTTCAACTAATTTATACTTCTCTTCTTACAATAAGGTGGCCCCCTGCCCTTAAGGTTGAGGGTAGAGCGACATGGATAAGGGATTGGTAGGATTAATTTTATTCCATTAGTTTTAATTATGAGTAAAAGATTATCACTAAAAATAAAAAAATATGGGAATATTCATTTACAAAAATACCTTAGAATATTATTCATAGTTAATACTATTTTTCAAACTTTAAAAAGAAAAGAATATTTTAAAAGAAAATCTTATCAAATTGAAAAGTTAAACATTGTGTTCTTAAGCTCTGACTGGAAACATCAGCCAAGTAGGGTTAGTTGACTAACAGCTCCAAGCAGTTGACTAACAGAGATAAATTATTCGAATTTGTTATCAAGTCTGAATTGTACATTTTACCTTAAACCTATCAAATACAACATTTCATGTTTTTAATTTAATCCATCAAATTAGTAAAAAAAAAATAATTAATTTTATAGTTCACATTCTTGAGATTTTCGATGTTTTGCTAAGATTAACCTATCATGCCCCAATTTTAAGAAATGGTTTCTGAAAACTGTCTTTAACAGAAGGCAGATTTTCAGGCAGAAGTGGACAGCTATGATCTGCTGAAAGCTTGCAGAAATAAATGTAAAGTGTAATAATTCTGAAATTGATATTTCTATTTGATAAATATTTTACATGAACCTCTCTCTGTTGTCTATTTTGATTCAGTCAAAAGATGAAGTCTACATGTCAAACTTGTCAGAGGGTATTAAACTTAAATGGTTTTTAATAAAAGCAATTCCTAATCATTCCTTTCAATAAGTGATAATATTGCAGGAGGTTACTTCATTGTGTAATAAGATAGGATTGACTTTTTCAAGATGTGAAATACAAATCTCAACTTTGTTTCCCATTAAAAAAATATGTGAATCTACTTTACTCCTTAGGTCAGTACTATTTGTTTCAATATTGAAAACATACTATAGCTGTATGCCAAATATATATTTTTTCTAGATAGGACAGGTATCAAAAGTAAGATTATATGCACAAAATCTAGTATTTCGAGACTCAATACAAAAATTAGTATAAAGCATTTATTGTACATATTATACCACAAAATATTTATTTTTTTGGGACAAAAAATATGATATTCTTTTTTCGAACTTCGAACTCTTAAATAAACATTTTCATTGCAATCGAAAAATGTAAATTTTTCGCTCAATATTCTGCCTTTATAATATATATGCAATCGAAAATGGTAAATTTTCCCCTCATTATTCTGCCTTATATTATCTCTTGTGATCCCATCTATGTTTATGGCTATATAGAAAAAAAAAAAAAAAAAAAAAAAAAAAAAAAAAAAACCTGTACATCTACAACCCATGAAGGGTCTTGGGTTTTCCCCTTAATTAATTATTTTTATTAAGGGTACCCACTTTTATTAAGGTGTGTGCCCCAGGAGGATCTACCTACCCAGGGTCACCCCACGGCCAATAAAACAGAATAAATAATTTTTCTGCCATGAGCCGAGATTCGAACCTGAGACCTTTAGCATTGGAAGCTTAGTACCTTACCACTGAGCTACCCCACTCCCTTCTAGCTTTATAGCAGATAGTTCAAAAACAAAATACATTTAATTTTTTACTGCAGTAAAAATTTTCTTAATATTTGACTATATATTTAACAGTTTTAATATCTGCGATATTTTAAACATAGATGAATCTCACAAGTGCTATTAATATAAGGCACAATATTGAGAGAAAAATTTATGTTTTTCTATTGCAATAAAAATTCATATTTAAGAGCTTTTAGAGGTTCGATGAATAAACATCATATTTTTTTATTCCCAAAAATATATTTCATGGTATAATGTGTACAATGAATGCTTTATTCTAATTTTAGTGTTGAATCTCGACAAAATACTAGATTTTGTGCATGTAATCGTTCTTTTGATACCCATCCTGAGGAGTTATGATTATTTTAGTAAACCCATGAAAATAATCTTGCCATAAAATGACGTCCAAAAATTTATGTTTTTTTATTTCAAAACAAACTCGTATTTAAGAGTTTTAGAGAACCCTAAAAACGAATCTAATTAGTTTTTTCATGACAAAAATTTACTTGGCCTACTTTACTGGAAGCATCTATGGGTTTTTGTAATTTATACTATTATACTATTAATTTATTAGTAATTAATTTAGTAATAGTATTTAGTAATTTATTTAGTAATAAATTATTTAGTAATTTATACTATTATATTTAAACATTTGTTTTAATCGAATAATCAATATGTTTTTCTTATACTACACAAAAAAAATTGATTGATATACAATAACTTATATATTCATTCAGATCAAAGTCAGAAAACAATAACATAAGAATGTAATAAAAATTTTTTTTCTTGGCTCCTAGGGCGCATTTGCATGAACCCTTGGACATGGGTCTAATATTTTTCGACCTAGTATTATATGTGGATGAGATCGCCTCCATCTGCAAAAGGCGCACAGCACAAATGCACATGGGCCATTGGAACTTGCTTCCTGTAGTTGTACAGTTTCTCATATTTGCAGACGACATCTTTCTTATTGCAGAATCCCCTGAGTGACTTCAGCAGGCAGTAACAGAGTTGAATAGGAAGGGAATGACCATCAATTCCCAAAAAAGCAAAATACTTCAAGTCTGCAGAACTCAAAAGGATATCCAGATCGTCTGTAATGAAGGGGTGATGGAGGTAGTGACGTACTTTACCTATCTGGGTACGTTAATCAATAGGTCAGGAAAAGTAGATTCGGAAGTCTCAAGCAGGATATCAAAAGCTAATTCCGTCTACTATATGATATGCAATACCGTAATCGGAAAAAAAGAAGTGGGACAGGATGTGAAACTCCATCTGTTCAATTTTGTCTTGCTACCGGTACATCTTTATGGAGCATAGAGTTGGATCCTGAATGGGAGGTTACAAAGCCGTGTTACTGCCACTGAGATGAAAGTTTCTTAGAAGAATTGTGGGTTAAACGCGGAGAGACTGTTCGAAATGACAGGATCAGGGAGGAGCTAAAGATTCATCCCCATGCAGGAAACTCTGGAGAGGAGACAGCTGAAGTGGTAATGGGCATGTCTGACAGATGGACCACCACAGAGACCCTGATAAAACCCTAGAGGTGAGGCCGGTTGGGAGAAGAACGAGAGGGTGACCAAGAACCTCATATGCTAGCCATCTAGAACGAATTGGAAGACAAAGAGGGAAGACACTGGAAGAGATGAGGAACCTTGCCGGGAACAGGGATGCGTGGAACCGATGGCTGGAAGCACCTTCACGCTGAGAGGCAAATGGGTGGAAGAGAAAGAAGAAGAAGATGACCTAGTATCACCAAAAAAAGTTTTATTTAAATCGGTGACCACACGTCTTTAACCTCCCCTTGTTAGTAAAGACTGAATTATTTCTAAACAGTGAAGTTTTACAGAGGTAAACAAACGGTATTGTTTGGAAGAAGATTAATATGTTATCACCCCTTATTAATTCTCTTTCAAGTCTGGTGTCAGAGCAACATTAATGAGTGTACTGTTCAACAGTGGTTCAAAAAATTTCAGGAGGGAGACTTTAGCCTTGATTAAAATGAATAATCCAGTAAATGTAAACAGTTTGTTATATGGAGGGGTATTTTAAAGAAAACTCAAAATCCTGCATTATTTTCCGGGCAACCCATTATTAAGATTGTAATTTATTACTTTCCCATCTATAAAACATTTATTTATCTAATTATCTAAAAACATTTTGTTTTGAATTGATTTCAGGTCATAGTATCTATGGTGAAAGATTTGCTGATGAAAACTTTAAGTTGAAACATTATGGTGCTGGGTGGTTGTCCATGGCCAATGCTGGAAAAGACACTAATGGTTCTCAATTTTTTATTACTACTAAGAAAACTCCTTGGCTGGATGGAAGACATGTCGTCTTTGGCAAAATTATTAATGGAATGGTAAATGGTTGTTTTTATCATTGTAATTCCTTTTTCTTAACTTTAGCTGTAATTTTAGCGCCGTTATGATTATTAATTTTGTCTTTATTGATGGATTGATGTTATTTTCTTAAGAGTAAATTTCATATTCTTTTAGTTAGGTTCTACATTATCCACTTTTGGGTGATATAAGAATCTATTAATTACCTTTGCAATTGTTACAAAAATTTTCCTGCTTAAGTATCTGTTGTATAATTCTGTTTAGTTTATATACTAGCTAATATTTAGTGATTTAAAGAACACCTGATTAATGGAATTGTGACATTTATTGTTTACTGGTTCTTTTTATTCAATTTGAATATTGATTTTTAAAATTGTTATCTCCAAAGTTTTTTAGAAGAAAAATTACTCAGTTTTATTTTAATTGCTATTATTTGCAATATCGGTTATTTTCATCACATGGAATGCCAATTGATCTTTTGTTTTCTTTCTAGGATGTTGTAAGGAAAATTGAAAACACTAAAACGGATAGTCGTGACAGGCCAGTTGCTGATGTTGTGATATCGGACTGTGGTGCTGAAGAAGTAGAACCTTTTGCAGTTTCAAAGGAGGATGCCAATGAACATTCTGAATTGTAAAATGATATTAATAAATTAATACTTGAATATGTTTTTGATACTTGATGTTTGTAGATGTTTTTTCTAATAAAATATTTACAAAATAAATAATTCAATTTGATTTAAATAATTTAGTTTTCATGCCCCTTTTACCCTTTAGAATTTTTTAAAAAAGATTAATTCTTAAATCAACCCACTTTTTTTCTAATGTTGTGTTGATGATCATAACCTGTTTAAATGTGTTTTTTGTTTCTTTTTAAATGTTATTTGATAAGATTTATACTTTTTGATAATTATCATTTTTATAATTTAGATCATTTTAAATCACTAGTATTTGAATATGGACTTTCAGATTTGTAGAAAAATGAAAATAAAATAGTCAACTAGATATGTTCTTAACATTGGATTTTATTATTATTTTGAGATTCATTAAATAGAAGTAGTTTAATAGAATTACTGTGATTTTTATTGCTCAAATTTTATAAAATATTTCACTCAAGAGTGGTACTAATCCACGACTAATGGATACTATTTAACTACTTCAAAATAAATTGCTACATAACACTAAAACCTATTAAAACTACAAAAACAGTTCAATAACAAGTTTAATAACATTTTTCAATAATTTATTTACATAAATAAATGTCCTATTTAATGGTAAAAATCTCCAAAAAGGGTTTATTTGATTATAATTGGTGGATTGTAGTTAAATTTTGTTTCTTTATTCTAATTATTTTTATTATTATGTTCCAGGAATAATCAATGAGCAAGTATTTAAATTATAGGGCACTGGTACCATTTGTATGATTCATTTTCTGTGGTAATTGTGGTGGATTTGGTTTGAATTTTGTAAAATTTGTTGTAAATATATATATTTATATATTTTTTATTACTTTATTATAATCCTTGTGCTCTATCTTTATGATTAATTTTATCAGTTATTTCTTGATTCTTTTATATATATATTGGTTAGAAACAAATTCATGAAATTATTTTTTATTACAAAATTGGTTTTTATTGTTAAATTTTTATATTGCCTAATTATCAAGAACACCTTTTTAAAAATGTAAACATTGTTATTATTTTATGTATTTTATATTATTTGGATTAAATTTTTGTTAAGAGGTATTTCCCTCAAAGCTATTAATATTTATATGTAATTAATATGTACCGCTGTATTTGTGCGTCATATACTGAAAAATGACAATTACCTTTTTTTATTATAATTTGTTATTATTTTAATCCAAGCTCACATCCTTCTATCCCAGAACTAAATGAACTATTGTACTGAATTTATTCCTAATTGTAGTTATTTTCTCAGCTGTGGATTATATGACGCGTTTAAGCACTGCTGGTCTTATTGTGGGGCAATTGCCCCGGGGCGTCGACCAGGACTTGTTGAAGGCACTGTCCGACCTTCATGTGCTCTCGCCATTTGTCAGATATTAAAAATTACAAAATGTATTAAATTATGTATAATGTAGTAAATTAATTTATTTTAACCCATCAATAAAGCAACTGAATCAAAGAAATGTTGAATGATATAAAATTCAAATGTTACATCAAACAGGTTCAGAAATAAATTTAATTTTTTGGGAAGGTGGGGGGAGGGGAGATGATGACATTGCCTGGGTTCACAGAATGTCTAAGACCGGCACTGTCTTTAAGTATCATTGGTGAATTAGAACTTGTGATTGACTCACAACTTTCTTGAAAGGCTGTAGGACAAAGCTAAGCTGTTTCTCTTCATGCTCTACACACGCTGAATATAATATTTTATATAAAATTGTATTTCCATATTTTTACTTCAACTGCCATTAATTTGTTGGTAGAAGCCATTTTAAATCTCCAATTTATCTGTTTATAGTTATTAAAAGATTATAGTTTATTATGTTTTTGACATTTACTATACAGAATAAAATAAAGTATTATTTAGGATGTGGGTACCATTTTTCATTTAAATTTATTCTAATGTAGATGCGAAATAACTAATTTCTCTTTAGTTCATCGCTGATTAGTTTTCTTATGAAACATTCATTACAAAAAAAAAAATAATCCAGAAATTTTGTTTCAATAACAAACTATTTTTCTTAATTTCTTGATAGTAAACCAAGAGTAACCATTCAATGTTTATGAAACTACAATTTGTTGAGAAGGATAAATGCTGTCATGGAACTGAAAATATTAATGTTCTAGTAATTTACTTCTGGAATTGCTTCAAGCAAGTTCGATAGGATACTTCTTTTTAAAAATAGATTTTGTTTAATCCATAATTATTAATTTCAACCTTTGACTGGTGGGTATCATTGATGAAGTATAAATATAAGGATTTTTATTTCATGCTGCATTTTATTTTATTCAGCACAATTTGTATTTATGAACCACTAAATGTGTGGTTTTTACTACATTAAGTATAATTTGTACTTACAATCAATAACTGTTGACTATAAATGAAAGTATTCACAAAATCTTTTAATTAAGGTACCTTGAAAATGAACTGACAAATTCTGCTTTTACTAAATTAGTCTTTAGTCCTGATTTCCGGTGACTAACGCTCTAGGCAGAAAATCTTTATCTATCACTCATTGGCAATTCTCTCTAAATATAAAATTTTAAAAATTCGACCTTATTAATTATCAGTCTGAAGTCCACACACACACAACTAAATAGTAAGAATTTTTAAAGACAGGATATTTGTCTTAATTCTTATTTTCTTACTTTATTATGGTTGTTTTAGTTGATCGGCTTAATTCACGTTTTATTAAGCTCTAAATAAAACATGAATTATTGTATACATCTTCGTACATTAAAAAACGTTTTAAATCTTAAGTATTTGGTTTTGGTCTAATAATTTGAAGGCCACTACAACAGTTAGCACAAACGTATGTTTCTCCGTGACTTTTTCCATCATACTGCTTAGTGGTAAAAAAATTCTCTTATTTTTTTCGTGCGTAAAATTCTCCTGTACCTCAGAAACTGGTACTTAAGGGAAACTGTATGTTGCATACTATTTTATATGTTATTTTATATTGGTAAATATACAAATTATAATCAAAATATGCTTTTCTTCTTTTTATATTTCCATTAAATACCTCTCCATAAATCAGCTAAAACAAAAAAAAAAAAAACTGCCACTACAATTCATGAAGGGTCTTAGGTTCAATACTATGTAAGGAAGTACATAAGTTTCTAGGTCAACAGTTGTGCAAGGATGTGATTTGACTGAGATCACATTCAACCGCCAGGTTTTTTAATTAATTAAGAGTACCTATTTTATAGAGGGTGGGTGTGCTGCAGGAGGGTCTCCCAATCCCTGGTTCGACCCACTGCCAATGAAGCAGAATAAATAATTGCCTGCCATCAGCCAGATTCCAACCTGAGACCTTAAGCTTTGGAACTAAGCTATTCAATTAGTTACTACTTTACGATTGATAGAACATGTGATATTAATAGCAAATAATGATATTGACATATCAAGATAAATCAATAGATATAATTTTGCTCAATTAGCCCAAATTATAAAACTGGGCATGGCTTGGCTACTTATTTATTGAGTCTGAACATTCCAATTGATATGTCTTTATATATATTTATTGATATAAGATTTTATTTACTATTTGTGAATTATTATAATTTTTTTGATGTTTTATTTTCTTATGTTAGACTGTTATTTATTAATTAATTTTTACTTGGTTCAGTAATTTTAATAGTTTTTTTTTTTAAATATTACTTGGAAAATACCGATATTCATTATAGGTAGGTTGTAAATAGCTTTCATATTGATTTTACTTTGTTCACTTGTTACCATAGTAACTAAAAACTCAGGCAAAGTGTCTTTTATTAGTGTAGCAATAATGTGATAATCCAATGACTTCTGGTTCAGAATTGTTCTCTGAAGAACAATTTTATGATGATTTGACATTGAATTTAATTAAATCATTAGGTAATTTAATATTTAAAAGAGGTTTTTTTCCCATCATTAATCATTTAATTTAATATATAGAATTTATTATATCTGTTGTTTATCTATAACTCTGTTAACTTGTAAATAATTGACTAAGTCTACTATCAATACATTTCTCATATTTTATTTAAAGAATGTAACTGTTAATAAAAAACAAAACAAAAAGAAGCATAATTAGAGTAAATTTGATGTCCAACAGTAAAAATTTCCTATTAGCTTCATAGAAAAACTATTTCACATGTCAAAATATCATATAGTAGTATTTTGAGAAATGAAAAACTTATATTATATGTATGTATGTGTGTGTGTGTTATGGGTTATCAATAGTTTAAGTATTTCATTATGATTAAAAGGCTAAAGATGGATTATTATTTGAGGAGCAGGTGTACCTGAATACACACACACACACACACACACACATATATATATATATATATATATATATATATATATATATATATATATATATATATATATATATATAGTTTTTTCTATGAAGAGTACTGGAAAGGAAATTTTATATATATATATATATATATATATATATACATTAAAATCAACCATTTTAGCATTATAAAATAATTGAAGCAAGTATAGAGAACACACATTTACTATTGCTTAATGCAATTTACTTACAATGTTTAATAACAAAATGAGTATTAAGCTATTGAAACATGCATTACTTTTCATCATTTGTTTCATAATGATTATATTATAAATAGAAAAATCCAAACTAAATGCCATGGGTCTCCAACATACAGGTGAATAGTTAACTTGCCTATGTATCGCCAATTTAGGCATCATCAGGGCAGAAAAACTAAGATCGCTTATATGCAGAAAGTAAAACAAAAGAAGAAAAAAAAAATTGCTGCAGACATCTAAGGAAGCCCTCCTAATACATACTGAAGGAAAGATGAGGTTCTATTAACACAACTAAGGAAAGTTATATTGAACAGCTGATTAGCAGAAATACAAGAAAGAAAAGAAAAAAAAAAGTTTTTCTTTCTGCATATAAATGATCTTGGTTTTTCTTCCTTGATGATGTCTGAATTGGTGAAACATTGGCAAGTTAACTATTCACCTATATCTTGGAGACTCATGGTTTTGTAGTTTGGATTTTTCCATTTATAACATAATTACCTTACGTATCTTTTCTAGCTTTATGCTTATTTTAGTAAGAATGGTTACAATTAGGAGTGCAAATACAAAATAATATTGTATCGGTGAGACGCATTCATTGGTCCAATCTTGTTCAGCTAGGTGCTGAGCCAGTCTTAAATTTAGTGTTGATAAGTAAATTTTCTTGACAAGCATGAGGAGAAAACTGTAATGTTATTTTCAACTAACCAGGAATAGTCAAAATTATTATACTAACTTAAACAACATCTTATAAATCATTTTAAACAGATATCTTTCATACCATAGTAAATAAATGGTTTGCTCAGAACACCTACTTCTGACCTGCAATGCATCACATTATATTTCTTTAATATTGAGGAATATTTTGTGAAGATTCTTTACGCCAACTACTTTTATTAAAAAATATTTTATTTGAACAACAGCCCCTGATAAGCGTGTTGGGAGTATATTTATCTCTTGAGCATTTCACTGTGCTACTTTTGCATGGCTGCCTTTCTAGTTTCTGTCCCTCTGGTCCAGCATACTGATTTTTCAAATCTCTGGTAATGAAAGAAACATAATCAATTATTCAGGTACACCTGCTACTGAAATACCAACCTATCTTTAGCATTTTAATCATAATGAAATATTTAAACTATTGACCTAAGTAACATATAACATGTAAATTATCCATTGGAATTAATTTTTGAATAAAAATTATTATTGGTTTTAATAGATTTTATATGTTTTATAAGATTGGATTCCTGGTGTTCATAACATAAAGCTTGACAAGAGACAACCATGCGAGAAAACTTCTATTTTAGCCTGGGAGCAAAGGCAGTGTTGTCAACTTCCTCTTGATTTAAAGAACTTTTATCTGTCTGTTGATGGTTTTGAGTTAACTTACGATTTTAGATATGCAGGTTATTAAATTACTATGATTAAATCTTGTTCTTTAGTACATAATTTTATTTTTTATTCAGCTTTCTTTCATGATGAGTTAAATGTTATTAATTAATTAATAATCTTGCTGAGAATATATTTAAGATGAAGTTTAAAATTTAATAAGAAAAAAAACAGGTTGGCTTAGAAACTAAACACACTATTTCAAAGGCAGAACTCTACTGAAGTCAACTGTCACTACATGGAGTAAAAAAATAAAAGTCCTTATCATGGACAGCACGATAGAATGCATGGGGAAATCCCAGGAGTCTGGGTCTCGTCTGAGAACCATCTGATCCTGAGGGAAATACGAAGGACCTAATCTGAAATCCTTCCATCATGAGTGTGTTTAAATAGTGTACTCTTTTATACAGCATTGCCTGGACCAATTTGATTATTGGTTTGGGAATATGAAGTTTTAATTTCAGAACAACAAGAATCCTTATTATAAGATGGTGAATTCAAATATATTGCCTGTCTAAGTCTAGTCCCAAACTTAAAAACTTTTTGTTATCATTGAATATTAAAATAGGCCATATTTAAAGAGAAATGGTTAATAAAATAAAAGCACATATTAATACAACTTAAATATGAAACATATATTTATCAATAAAAACAACACAATTATAAATTAAAGAATAACATAAGAATAAGAATGAAATAAAACCAGTTATTTATTTTAACTTAATCTGAGGAATCATGAACTGATTCTTTTTCCATAGAACAAAGCAGGGCTTCAAAAGACCCCAGTACTTATCTCACTGCTTGGTGGAATCATAAGCTAGTAGAGAGTGTGTGAAGCACTAAAGTTCCAAGCACCCTGAACTTAGTGGAAATGCTGACCATTTCCAGGACTTAAATAGTGGATATTTCAATCTATGAAGAGGATATTCTAGTATCTGACTAGTCTCACAAAAAGTCAACTACGCATTGTAATTCTTTTATATTTCTTATAATTTGGTATTTTAGGCTATGCCTACCCTTAGTTTATGTTCTCAAAATAATTCATAATTTTTAATGTTAACTACAGCACAAATATCTCTGCAATACAGCTGTTTTCATTTCCCCCAAGTCCTTGTTATAACGATGAGCCACTATATTTAAGCTGATTCAGTACTTTAATATTATTAAAGTTAATAAATATCCACATTAGCACAAAAATACATGAGAATTGGTTTAGGATTAAGTAATGTGCTTGCAGTGCTAGCCTTAGGACTAGGCAACCGGGGCAATGGCTCGGAGCACCGATCTGGAAGGTGGTACCTGTCACTCGTTAGAAATTAAAAATAAATTACAACGCATATGAGAATAATTAATTTTAGCCAATAAATAAAGCAACTGGATTAGTGACATATTGAACAAAATAAAATTCAAATACTAATTAATATAAAATAGCTTAAGAAATAAATTTAATTTTTCGGTGAGAGATATCATTGTCCAGGGACACCATAAGTCTAAGGCTAGCACTGTGTGCTAATTAAATATATGGTACATAAATAGATTATTTAGTAAAACTAATACATTACTAAATTTTAATATAACTGATATTGATTGGTATTTAATCTTTATTTAATGAAATTGATATAATTTATGAATGAAAACAACTTTTTAAAGGCGGCTCAATATTTCTTAATGGTTGGAAAAAACTCTATTGAATAAGTTTTCTTATGATTGTGCATACAATTTAAGTTTTATGGTGATAATACCATTGAGCTATATTCTTAAATTATGGAATCCTTCTTATATTGTAATAAGGAATCCTTTTTAGCACATCACAAAGTTAGTCAAAAAATAAGTATATAAAATATATTTTAAAATTTTTTAATTTAACATATTTATGTATTTGTTTTCCATTTTTGTGGTACTGTCAACAAAAGAAAAGATAATAATTAACTGTTGTAATTATCAATTAAAAAAAAAAAAGTTTCCTGCTTACAATTTAGACCATATTTATATATAGTTTGTTGAGAATCATGTTTATATTTTGGTTCATAAGTTTCCAATCTTTCTGTTTTATAAATAGGAAAACATGTATTTATAAAATCGACAAACTTAATACACTTTTAATTATAAATATTCTTGTTATAATTTTAATCTATGATAGAAAATAGTTATCTTCTTATTTTATTAGTCTAATGGAAATTAAATGAAATTTCCATGAGGGAGCCAATATAAAGAAAAAAATATATTAATTTTTTTTCTTATTACTTAAAATCTAATATCAATTTTCTATCTATAATTTGTTGATCTACTGGAAAGCTCCTAACGGAACTGAGAATTATTCACTCATAAGTCCTATCATTTTGTGATATCAGGTGAACTTCTCACAGTAGGCAGATTATGTATAAATTCATTGATGGATTTGAGACGTATTTATGGATATTCTATTATTGAACAGAGCGGTGAGCTATTGCCTAGTCTTAAAGATCTGGATATAGTTAATACTGTAGAAGGAAAACCAAGTTTTGGGCCAAACAGTAAAATTTTTGAGTTAGATTACAATGAAGGTGTGTCAATGGTAAGTATAGTACTTTAAGATTTTAAATCAAGTTGTGTGTGATTGATTTATGCTGTGAAATCTCAGTAATCCTTCAGTTGTCCAAATCAAGATCAAGTAATCTGAACTTGGGAGGGAGAGGGAGGTGAAAGAAGGGTAGACTCAAAGTTTCATTCCGGAAAATAACACATAAATGAAAGACACACACTAGCTTGACCAGTCAAATTACTGGATTTTTATAAGCTCATCTGCATGCACATGCATCGTTCTTGTATTAATTTTATCTCTCTTTTATAATTTTTACAATCTCTTACCTTCTTTTATAAAAATAAGACAGTAAAAAATGAAAATAGTGTCTGATTACCTCCACTTCAAGTAAATACGAGGAAAGACCTCCAAAACTTACAAAAATAGCTGAGTTATTTAAATATATATATATAACATTGGCCAATAGGGATAGAGGGAAGTAAATTGCCATTGTGCAACAGAACTACCTTGAGGGATAGATCTGATGAATCTATGAATAGCCTTCTTCAGAAGGGTTCTGATTGAGATTTAATGCTGTCATCAGACCTGGGACATCACAACCAGCAACAAGATCCTCATACAGGGGATCAAGTTTTCTGACGATTTCTGTATATTGTAATCTTTACACCCGGTAGTAAGAAGTTCCATTGCATCAATCTTGAACATAAAAGTTCAGCTTTCTCTTTGTTAAGATCCAGGTCCCGAATCAAGTCACTGAGTTCAGCTTGAGTAAGCAAGTGGGGTTTTCGTTCTTCTTGTTCGAAAGAAAAGTCAGAATCATCTGATGGGGTTCCTCCTAGGTGATTTTGCTATTCGTTATCCTCGTCCTCATTCAAGTCATAGAGTTAAGAAGGCCTGTCTAGTGTGGCAATAAATGAAGGAGTGGATAGGTCCGTCACAAGTTCTAGATGTATGGCCTTGGTAGACATGAATACAAAGAGAGCTAACCAACATTTTGACTTTAAATAACGACGTGGCCGCCAGAGTCTATTCCAACTCGCTGAAAGGATCGCTCCTAGGTCACCCTGAAAGACGGTAAGTCACTCATTTTCGGAGCCTGTGGTTTCGCATTATTTTTGTGGCATGTAAAGCATTTATAAATCCGGCTTCTAACGAGTCTTTTCAGAGAAAGGATCCAAAATTGGCGATGAATGAGCGACTGGACCAACAGAGACCCACTATGTAAGAAATACCTTTGATAATGGTCACACAAAAGGACTGCTAAATGTGAATCTAGGTATCAGCAGCGGCTGCCTACTTTTTTCATCAATTGTGGAATACTTCAATCTACCTCCCACCCTGAGAGCTCCGTCATTATCCAAATATGGTGTGAGCCTGTTTAAAAACCCTTATATGGTTTACCACTGTTAAGGCAATCAATTAATTCAATGAAGAGTTTCCTCTGAACAAGCCTCACATAAATCATAAACCAGCAGCCAAAACACCGTACTCCCGATCTCGACAACATTTAATAAATTTTAAAATAAAAGCAAAAACCCTTTGCAGCGTTAAAAGGCTGGAGTATTTTTCCAGGCTAATCAACTAATCATTAGGTTTTTCAGCCACTAACAGAGATATTGGTTTTACTTCAGGCAGAACGGATAGAGATTCAGTATGGTAAATAGGCCAGTCAGAAGGGCAACGTAACAAATGCCGGACCGTTCCAATAAAGTTTATGTGAAATGTGAAAGTATCTGGTGTGGTGTTAGGCCTCTAGATAAATAATCGGCTGGAATCTATTTTGTAGGAATATAGTGCCAACAACTGGGTCCCTTTATTGCTAAAATCTGGACTACGCGATTGGTTAGTCCCAAATAAATCTTAAGTAAATCTCATGAGGTGGTGTGTGTAACCAATAGAGTACGTTACGAGAGTCCGAAAAACAATATAGTTCATTAATTTGCAAATGACTTATACATTTACCAATACACGCAAGTAGTCTGGAGGAAAGAAGACCAGCTTTTAATTCCAAACGAGGCACTGATTGAACCTTAACTGGGGTCACCTTACTTTTTGCCCTTAACAAATAAATTTTGGTAGCTTCTCCTGAGCACCGAACTCTCAGGTAGATCACACACCCGTAACCTTTCTCGGAAGCTTCGGAAAAGGCGATTAGCTGTATGGATGATGGGTTTTGGCTGACAGTACAAGGAGGCAGGAAAGCTTTCTCAAGCTCGGAAATCCTTCAAGTAAAACCTTCCATAAAGAAGACACACTTGAGGGCAACTCATCATCCCAATCAGCCTTAAGCAGCCACAAACGTTGTAATATACATTTAACAGAAAAGATTACCGGACTGATATATCCATTTATATCAAATATTTTGGCAGTTATTTATTGAATACCTGAAAAGATCAAGTTTGGGATACCAAAACAAACCCAAAACCTTGAAGGTCGAGGAATCTCCATCCAGGCATAATATAACTTCTTGACCACCCTCGGGTATAACAGAAAGTATTTTTTCTGAATTGCTGAAGAAATTTCTGAGTTCAAATCCAACTGCTCCAAATAAGGCCATTAACTTATTATACAGCTCCAGAGCCTCATCACTATTGCCAGCACCAGTGATTACCTTATTTACATAAATCTGGTCATGATTCTGGGCAGCTATAGGAAAATTATGGCCATCTTTCTGAAATAACAATACATGGTAACCAACTCATACTCCTAGATCGGCAGTGAAGATTCACTTCTCCAAAAAAAAAATGTAATAAGTTTTGATTAGTTTCTGCAATGCGGATACATCTAAACATAATTTTCATATCGCCTATTAAGCCCATAGGAAAGCATCTAAAATGATCTATAAGTTCCGCAATATCAGTCTTCACCTGTGGACCGGTAAAAAGCAACTCATTGAATGAGTTTCCTCCCATCATCTTCTCCGAACCATTAAATACGATTGTAAGTTTTGTCGTGGAAGGATCCTTAATGACTCCATGATAGGTCATGACTTATTGAGAAGGGCTCTTGGCGAGGCGGACATGATAAAGTCTTACATATTCGTCCATCTGTGCAGCATAGGCAGACTTATACTCCGGATCTCTCATAAAACTATTTTCTAGATTTCAAAATCCGCGTTGAGTTATCTCTCTTGTGGAATCAAGGCTAATCGGTTGGTAATAACGAAACGGAGCGAAACAAGAATCTACTACCCTGGAGATCATGTGCATGTATAAATAAAGTGATCTTCGCAAAATGCATCTTCCGGATTCGGCGGAATCGAAACTGTGACTTCCTCAGTCCTCAAAATCGCTTTGATTCCTTCTGTAAGGAAAGGTTTATCTGCGTTAAAAGAATGCATACTGAAGGCGTAGGGCTTTCCGAGAGGGTGTCCCCAAATAATAACCATCCTATGAGGTATGGATAGCTTTCAGTTGACCCTTTAGAAATCAAACAGCGTCACGTAAAACCTCTCCTTACATCTCAGCATTCAGAAGTAGATCAACTTTACCTGGGGTATGAAATTGAGGGTCCGCAAGTTCAATCAAAGCAAATCTATTCTGTACTTCTTGGGATAAGGCAATATAAGGCAAACTTCCACTGATGCAAGGAACACACTTGCTGAAAACTCGTATACATTGTTGTTTCTCATCGAACCCAACTTCACTTTAACCTCAGCTGCAGAGGAAAATATGCAGGTATTACCTAGTCCAGAGACCAAAAGACCCTACTAACTACTAACTACTAACTAACCCAGGAAGGAAGGCGCTACTTTTTCATTAGATCAGTGGTAGTTAAATTAATTTGGGAACCTGGATATATCACCAATCTGAAAACCATTGACCTAAACTTGAACAAATTCTACCCAAGGCAGTACCCAAAAGTACCTGTGAGTTGGTGGTAGCATGGCACGAAACTACACGATAATTGTTTGTTTGAGACTGGGAGGGCGCAGTTTTTGCATCTTTATGTAACATCGTATGGTGATTCTTTTTGCCAGCCTTTACTTTGGCATTTAGGCCAGCGATGAGGTCTCGTACAAGAAAGTCATAAATCATACTTCTTTAGTAGATCATAACGACAAAATCAGTGAGGTTATTAAGTTTAAAATTTTTCAAGGCATTATAATTATCTTCAAATGTATCCAGAAAGTTTTTTAAGTTGGAAGAATTATCAGCAGCAAATGATTTAAACCATATAATTGTGTTAAGATAATAGGCCCCAATGATCCTTTTATTACTATAACGCTTTAATAATTTATCATAGGCCAAATTGTAATTTTATGCGCTAAGCTTAACTGAAGAAATGGCCTGTGAAGCAGGATGAACTAAAAGTGACTTGAAATAAGAAAATATGACTATATCCATGTAATTTCGATGATGAATTAAGGCATCAAATAATTGTTTAAACTAAGGAAATGGTTCGTAATGTCCAGAAAATAGAGGACTTTGTAGCTCTGGCAATTTAAGATTTGCTACTGGTTCAGAAATGTTTTGTTGAGAAATGATAGCTACTACGTGCTCAGCTTTAATTAATCTTTCATGAGAAACCTTTATCTCATAATAAAGTTCTTCCGCTGCATAGGAAGGAGCGTTTATCTCAATTCCATGTTCCTCCTCTAACGATTCATTTAACTGCTTCAAATCCCTCCAGTTGTGCTTTAATTTCCGAAGCCCTAGCCATACAAATTTCCCTTCTAGCAGGGAGATCCTTAATCATATCGAAAATGGTTTGAATTCTAAGAAACAGCTTTTTTCTTTTTATCAGTAATAGCTTTAAGTCCCTCAGTACCCAGTGATATTTTCAAAGTTGTTAAAAAAAAATAAAACTTTAATTGCTGAAGGAAACTCCAATTTTCTTCAAAATAAATACAAAGATTAGCAAAGTAGGCCAAGCCAAGCAAGGATTGACGTAAATATTAACGAAGTCACTTAATTCCAGCAAGTCACTATGCATTCTTTCCTGAAAATTTCTGGAAACTTATCTGAAATGAGCTTGACTTCTCTATATACGTAACGAAAACATAAGATATATTAAAAAAAAAAACGAATCCATAGGCGAAATACAATTATTAGTCCAGAAATAGACGATTTTTACAAATTTTCAACATAACCAACATTCGAGTTATTTTGGAAATGGACTGTATTTTGATTTAAATAGGTAGGTTATATGAATTGTGTAAAATAAAACTCACCCTTTTATGCTGGCATAGACACCTCACTTAACTGTGAGGGGTCTCCAGTCTGCTCTAGTTGTCTCGTAGCTGGATCGGATTTAATATTTTATCTTTTAGATCTTATCTGATCTGTTTTCACTGATCGCCGCAACGTGACGCTCGGGTATAATAGCATTCACACAAAACAAATGGTATCAGCGTGGGATCGAGCAATTGGCTATTAGATGGCTAATGACGGTAGACAACAATGGACTGTACTTTGAGTATTAATTGTATTTAATATAAAAGAAATAATAATACAGATATTTGGCGAAAAAAGGTAATTTTTTTTATACACCCTATTATTTATAGACATGGATTACTAGTTTAGATTTGTTTAAAACTTTTTATCTTCTAAATAACTATTTCAAGCGTCATTTCTCTATTTGCAGTCCCACGGCTTTAGGTTTTTTTCGGAAAATAATTTATAAAGTTTTGCCCTTCAAAGGAGGTTTTCTTTTTAAGATCAGTAATAAGAGTCTTGTCTGATGGATGAAACATCCCCAAATTATCGCGATAAACCACCTCTCCCACCTCCACATTTGGCATTTTGCATCAGTTTTCTTCATATTAGTATGAATCCATTGATCGGACGGAAATAATTAATAGGAATGAAAATATCCCTCATAAAATTCCACATAAAAAGTGTTTTCAATAGTTTGACTAGTACTTGCCAGTTTTGAGTAAACGACCTTCAAAGTTGAGAACAGTTTGAATAGTCGCACCTAACTTCAGAACCATTAATCGGGCGGAAATAATGAATAGGAATGGAAATAGTTCTCATAAAATTCTGTATAAAATGTGTTCTAGTAATAATCAAATTATTTTCAGGAATTTGCTTTCAAAAGCCTTATTACAGTCATTTTTAGCCAAGTACTTCAAACTGTTTTCAACTTCGAAAGCCGTATACTCGAAACCGGTAAGTACTAGCCAAATTATTATTATAACACATTTTATGAGGGATATTTTCATTCCTATTAATTATTTCCGTCTGATCAACGGATTCGAAGTTAAATAAAGAAAACTGACACAAAATGTCAAATGTGGGTCTGGGAGAGGTTTTTTTTTTTTTTCTCTCTCGCGAAATTTCTGATGTTTCATTCCCTAGGCAGTTGGTAACTCCTGTAATGGTAACTCTAACTCAGTAAAGACATTTACTGACCCTAAAAAGAAAAACTCCTGTGAAAGGTAAAACTTTATAAATTATTTCCCACAAATGCCCTATATTAGTCTAAGGTCATGGGACTATTGGCAAAAAGATATATTTTATTTTCCCTGTAGGCTTGGATTACCTTTTAAATTGTTTGCTGCAGACAGTTTTATTATAACTTAGTTAGTTCCATATATTCATCTGGTTTTTGACTGTTGCTAATTATTCTAGAATTGATTGTTTTGTAGAAGCTTCCTAATGGATTTCTCTGTGCTACATGCCTCCTCCATCTTAATCTTGCCTTCATATCATAATATATTGGTTGACCAGATTTTGCAATTAGTTTTTTATTGATAATTTTTTTTTTAGATTACCGCTATTCTAAAAAATAATTATTATTGAAATATTACTAACAAACTTATTTTTTGTGAATATTAATTGTAAATTAAATGGCAGAATTGAATGGTCAGAAGAAATCATTAGATTTACTTTGAATGTCCTTTATCAATGGGCGGCTGGATCCATAAATTTAGTTATCATCCACATCTACCTCAACTTAGAACACATAGTATTGATGTCATCTGGAAACAACAAAATCTATCTCATAGTATTCCCAGCAAAGTCTAGGTCTATAAACCCTTTGCTAATTAAATAATGGCTCAATTAGTATTTTTTTATTTTACATATTAGACATTTAGCCAAGATGATTTGTCCGTCTTAGCCATCCAATCTTCACAGTTTGTGCAACATTGTGTTCTTTATGCAGGAAATAAAACTCATTGTTAGTTTTCTTTGTTATTTTCTTATAATCCTTCATAAATCCGACTTTCCTTATAAAAGAACAACAATTCTTGGTCCCTTGCCTTGAAGATTGTCCAGGTTTCAAAACCAATCATATGCCAATTGAAGATAATTTTTGTTTTTCTTTGACCTATGTATTATATATCATAAAATATGACATTCTAAGAGATCGCTGTGATATAAAATAAACCTCCCAATGACTTTCATTTTACAATTTAATGAATATAATTTAACAATTTCAACTTGTATTTGTAATTAATTTATTTGATTTAAAAATCAATTACTGTTAATATTTTAGGTATGTTTAGTCTACAATGATTCAAGTCATGCCCAAGAGATCTGGTTTTTAGATAGAAGTCTTAATTGGTTCAAATTAGCCAGTAATTTCAGCCAATATTTTAGGATGATGTTGTACCACCATGGCTTACCTGAATGGCAATTTCTTCATGTTGGAATTGGTTTATCACCCTGGGCAGAGGTAAAAACCAATTAGTATATAACTAAATAAATATAAGTTTTAAATAAAATATATTTTGATATAAAATCCATATAGTAAATTTGTTTGTGAACATTTATAATATATACATATCTTCATATTAATGTGATTATATTGCATTTTTTTAGATGATCAGAGAAATGTACTAATAAAATTAAATCAGAGATTAAGAAAATAAAGTAATAGAAAACAGAAAATAAATAAAATATTATAACCATTCAGAAATGAGTAGGTCCCTATAATATATATATTAGGGGGTCAGGGTAGTCGTGCAATAGGTAATCAAAGTTAAGCAACGTCGAGTGTGGTTAATATTTGGGTAGGTGACCTCCCTATTGGGTGACCGCCCACCCACCAGGAAAAGACACAGGATTCCCCCCCCCCCCCAGGTATGTGAGACCCAAGTAAGAGTCAGAATACTGGAGGCAACCGGAGGGAGGTGAGCGACCACCGACACAGTTCTTAGTCCTCCACGTTGGGGCTTGGGCATAGGGCTAATAACCCTATCCCGTCAAAAAAACCACATTACGAAACCAAAAATAAGCCTTGGAAACATGATAACGACCCCGGCCTTCCATAACGGACTCCATATTGGATCACGGAATGTTCGGAGCTTATACAGACCAGAGGTCACCCAAACGGCAGTCAATGAAGTAAAAAGGTACAACATATCGTTACTAGCCAACCAAGAGGTAAGGTGGCCAGATGGTGATGAAACCACTATATACGGCCACACACTGTTCTACACCGGGAGAAACAATAAAAATGGGACAGATGGCAGTGGATTTATAGTTAGTCCGGATAATTATGCTGCGCATAAGAGGTCGTTGGTTTAATATCATGATGATTTAAGTGTATGCACCTACCGAAGAAAAAGAGGATAAACTGAAGGACGATTTCTATGATCAGTTAGAAAAAGTTGTGGACTAGGCTCCAAAATATGTCATAAAATTAGTCATGGGAGACTTCAATGCTAAGATAGGTCGAGAAATCCAATTTAAGCCCATCATTGGGGGCCAAAGTTTCCAAGAAACCAGCAGTGATTATAGAGTGAGATGCATCAGTCTGGCAGCAGCTCAATGACTAGTAGTGAGCAGTACGATGTTCTCACTCAAGGACATACATAAGGAGAAAAGTATGGGTAAGTCCTAAAGGATCGAAAAGCCATGTCAACCATGTGCTGATAGACAAGAGGCATCAAAGCTCCATACAAGACATAAGGAGCTATCATGGAGCAGGCTGTGATGCGGACCAGACTCTGATTAGAATCAAACTCTGAGAGAGGCTGAAGCGAATCCACCAAATAGGGGACCAAGTTGAAAGAAAAAGGCAAGAAGTCCGTAATTTGAAGAACCCTATAGTACAGACTGAATTCCAAATTGAGCTGAAAAATAAATTGGAACCCTTCAACGTGGCAGATCTCACGGTTGACCAATATTGGGAGGCACTAGAGTTAGGTCTAAAACAAACAACTAAGAAAGTAATAGATATTCAGGAAAAAAGAAAAGCCAAGAAACGATACACAAAAGCATACGAAAAGTCGGTGGAGGAAAGAAGAAAAGTTCCCTGCTTAGCGAAATTTGATCAAGCTATGCTGGGAGAAAGCCACCAGGGAAAAGACAAACAAAATAATAAGAACTGCATAAAGAGTATTCCACTGGCAGGCTGGAAATATATGTGAATAATTCTCAGATATCAGGAAAGAAAGGGTAGGATATAAAGCGAGAAATACGCAAATGCGAGGGAAAGATGGCATATTTACGGCATCAAAAGAAAATATCCTAAGCATCTGGAAGGAATACTTCCAGTAGCTATTCAATCAAGGGCACCCCAAAAATGAAGAAGATATGGACCACACTGAGGACATCGACGCACTTGAGGTTCAGGAACCAGATATTCTGGATATGGAAATAACTATCGGCAGGTTTAAAAGAAGAAAGGTTACAGGATTAGACAACCTACCATCAGAAGTGTTGAACACCTAAGAGCCAAGCTGTTTGAACTAATGCAGAAAATATGAGAGGAAGAACGGATACCAGAACCCTGGAACACAGGGCTGATCTGTCCTATCCTTAAGAAGAGCTCCGTATACGAATGTGGCAATTACAAAGGCGTAGCACTTCTTCCGGTTCCCTACAAGATGACTAATATTCTGATAAATCGGATAAATCCGTATTATGAAAAATAATAGGTGACCACCAACCAGAATTCAGGAGAGGATGGATTATGCTAGACCAAATATTCAAGGTCTGTAGTGCCAACCTAAGTAAAAAAAAAAAAAAAAAAAAAAAATATATATATATATATATATATATATATATATATATGTAATGTTTTATACATAGGTATTTATGTTAATTAATGATTTATATTATTATATAATATTATTTACGTTGATATAGTTAAAGCTATGATTTTTATTTGTGACAATTGGTTACTTCATCACTACTTTCAATGGAGTCAATCAATTAAATAAGCTCAACAACTTAGAAAAACAATTAAAGTTCTGTTCTAATGTAAAAATACCATAACAAATTGGACTTTTCTATATAAGGAAAGTTGTATTAATATATATATATATATATATATATATATATATATATATATATATATTAAAATATACTGAATAATTTAAATAATTTAATACATTTCTGCTATTGACTAAACCACTTACTCACTTATATATACATTTTGAAATATAATAATACTGTTTATATTAAAATATTACATATGAATAAAAAATAGTTTACCACATTTTGATTTCAGCAATTGATGATAGCGATTGCTCCACACCTAGTCTCACCTGAACCAGCTAAAAAAGTAGTTTCCAGATCTTCTGAACCACAGATTGATCCAAACATATTTAAAGTCCGACATAAATTATCCAAGAAAAACAAAGATAAAAAGAAGTACCTTAAATAAAAATACAAGATAACAAAAGGGCCAAATGAAATTACTTTTTACATAAGGTTGATTTGAAATAATTAATTACAATTTTTCTAAATTATGATATTTTAGTCTAAATGTTTTAATGCTTTAAAAGTTAACCAAAACGTAATGGAAACTGAGGCGGATCCAGAATTGTTTTTAGGAGGCACTGAAAAAAAAGCTCTGTATAAGTCTTTGTAATTTAATTATATTATATTTCTTTTAAATCTTAACAAGAAAACATATTAAAAATGATTCTTATAATTAGTAACTTCATTAAACTCTTTTTCTGGGCCATGCAGAGTTCTTTTGTGTTTCTCTTTTTCAAAGAATGAGTTTCAAAATATAAAATAATAACTTATATCATTTTGAAACAAATCTTGTTTTGTTAAGGACAAAAATATGGAGGATTAATGTAAAATTAAGGCCATTCTCTTCGCTTTTCTCTGGATCTGCTAATGAATGGCAATAAATGTTATTTATATTTAATTTACATATGTGATTATAGATTATTTCTATAACTATGTATCGACTGCTAAAGGTTAATTCTAATAAATTAATTTTTGATTTTATTTTATTTTTTAAAAAATCACCTATATTATTTAGCCTTAAAAGACTATAAATGGATGAATTACTTGAATTATTTATTGTGATAATTAAAATTTTATTTTTGTTCAAAACTTGTTTCAGCAGGTTTGAAATATTATTAAATTATCAAAAGTCGTCTGACCACGACTTATGAAATTAAAAAGACAATAGCAGCAACAATTAATTGTAATTAGTTGTTTCTTGTTAGAAGAATGATATGAAGCTCAAACCGTGCTAAATTAAATTGAAACTAGAGACCTATTGAACTTGAAAGAAAGAGAGAGGTTTCATTTTCTAAACTAAATTATTTCCTTTAGGCCTTGGGATTCCTAAGTGAACTGTAAACTAGCTAGGTCAAATGAACTACAACTAGTGCCATCTATTGTGATACGAGCGGTACTAGATCATTGAGATCATATATTCCAATTTAATATATTTTAAGTAAAAATACAATAATCAAAAATTATTATCAAGGAAAACAAATCCTTTTATAATCCCTACTTCAGTGTAAGGACCATAGGCCTTGGCCTTCTCTTTACATTTCTCAAAGAAAACACCAACAATTCCTCTAATTTTATTTTTGTGGTAGTTCACGGAAACTATAGTTCACAAAGAACTATAATTCACCAAATGTAAGACCGGTCTTCACAATTCCTTTTAGTGAACTAGTTCATTTGAACTATTTTGTTCACGAACTACACATCACTATTAATGACTGAAACCGGTAGAAGAGAGAGAGAATCATTTTATTTTTATAAAAGGGTGCTGCCAAATTACATTGGGTTGCTTCAAACACTGCATGCTTAGTAATCACTACAGTCCATTTTTCAAAACTAATATAGAATTATATAGTATTAACAATATATATGAGCGCAGTATACAATATATTATATATATATATATATATATATTTCTTTTTTCTTTATTTCTTTTTTTAACAATTTCTTTCATTTATTTATTAACATTCTACATCCGTTTCTCTTCCTTCTCTCCCCTTATACATTTTTCATACTCCTCCTCATATTCTCTCCTCTCTCTTCCTAACCTAATTCATAAAATGCATACAAATACTTAATGTACTGTGTACGTGTTCAATAAATAATATACAAATGCTGTAACACACGCATGTCTCCCCCCCATGAACAAACTCTCTCCCTATCCGCTTCCATACACACGGTGGTAGATGATTTCCAGGGAGTCGAGGATTATATTCTCTGCCAATCTTGCCACGTCCTTTATGTCGACACCAAGGCCCTCCATGAAGCTCCTTGTTGAGTTTGGTATCGTTCCGCGATCCCCGAACCAAAGCCCTCTCACGTGGAACTATCTCGGCCCGGAACTCTCGCGGAACTTTTCACTAAGGAAAGGGATGCATTTCTCGTACGTCTTTTTTTTTATTCCTTTCCTCACGGTATGATCCAAAATCATTGCCGACTTTTCCGTCTTGGGGAATGCTGCAATTCAAGGAAGACTAACGCACAATCATTTTTCATAATTTTTCCATGTTTTAATTTAGCGTTGATAATCCTTGAGTTGACGTGCGTTCCTGGGAGGCCTTTTATAAAGCCTCTCTGATTCCTGTGGAAGGTGATCTGCTTTCTTAATTCGTGGTCCAGAACCTCCTCTATGATTCGACGCACAATAGAATAAATGGTAATAGGTCTCCAGTTAGACATATTTTTTATATCACCTTTGACCTTATATATTAATATTGCGTGCCCTTGTCGAAGTGGTTCTGGGACATAGGCCACCTTTAGCATTATCTCTGCAATTATGAAGAGAAGAATAGTTGGGGTGCTCAGTCAAAAAGGAAGGCAAAAAATAAATTATAATATTTATTTTTTACATATGCCGACGTTTCGACCTGAAGTTCAGGCCTTCATCAGGGCTAAGAAAATAACCAGATAACAAGGTATGAGAAACATAAGTAATGATGGTAAAAAAGATAATAAAAAATGAAAAAATAAAATAAAAATAAAATTATTAGAAAAATAAAATAGATAGATATAAAGTAAAATGAAATTGTTAGAATAATGACTAAGAACTAAGAGATAAATAATAAAAACCGTTACATAGTGTGGAATGATGAAGTAGGCATAATCAAAAAGGGGTGACAAAAGTGTTACATTGGGAATCTTAGAATAAAATGTAAAAACATAAAAAAGAAATATAAAGTTATATAAGAAATGAAAAGAAAATAAATAGTAAAATTAAAACATTGAGAATGGAGTAGTTAGATAGAAAATTGAGATATTGTAAAGTCTATCAAGATGTACAGACAATGTATAATATAATAAAGAGTTAAAAACAGAGAAAAGGAATGAAAGGAAGGAGGGAAGAAATTGAGATAGCTGAAATAAGAAAGAAATAAAAGAAGTACAACCTATCTCAATTTTCTATCTAACTACTCCATTCTCAATGTTTTAATTTTACTATTTCTTTTCTTTTCATTTCTTATATAACTTTATATTTCTTTTTTATGTTTTTACATTTTATTCTAAGATTCCCAATGTAACACTTTTGTCACCCCTTTTTGATTATGCCTACTTCATCATTCCACATTATGTAACAGTTTTTATTATTTATCTCTTAGTTCTTAGTCATTATTCTAACAATTTCATTTTACTTTATATCTATCTATTTTATTTTTCTAATAATTTTTTTTATTTTATTTTTTCATTTTTTATTATCTTTTTTACCATCATTACTTATGTTTCTCATACCTTGTTATCTGGTTATTTTCTTAGCCCTGACGAAGGCCTGAACTTCAGGTCGAAACGTCGGCATATGTAAAAAATAAATATTATAATTTATTTTTTGCCTTCCTTTTTGACTGAGCACCCCAACTATTCTTCTCTTCATTATCCACGACAGTCAACCAATTACCAATTATATATCTCTGCAATATTTTGTTAATATTTGATGCATCAAAATATTTAATTGTGCGGATCAGAACTCCATCAGGCCCCGGCGATATGTCCATTGATGTTGATTTAATGGCTTTCTTGACAGCTTCTAGCTCAATGGACACCAAATTTGGCATCGCGGCACATTGTTCGTAATCCGCACTTTCGTTTTATTTATTTTTTCTCATTCTGTAAAATTTAACGGATGTGTGCTGGAGATCTGGCAGTTCCGCATTGATAATCTTGAAAAAATTCAGGAACTTGCCTACAGCTTCATCAAAATCCGCAATATTTGCCATGTTTTCTGTTGACAGGTTCTTGAACACAGTTGACTATCCAATAATGTTCTCTTTTATTTTCGATACCTCGCCCTCTCCATTTTTAGGACCTATAACATTTTTCACTATGCCCCTCACTGTATTATTTTTAGCATCGGTGGGATCCTTTTTTGCAATATGGGTTCCAAGACCTCTTTCAATCTTAAAAGAAAGCCCACATATGGGACAAACTTTATTATCAGGGCGTAGGACATCGTCCTCCTGCTCCCTATTCGTCTCTGCGACATTCTGCGGAACATTTGGCAAGGCGGGAAAGACATCATCTATCGAAACTGTCTTTCCCAATAACACACCTTCTGTGTCTGGCCATTCAACTTTTACATATTTGTTTTCGCCGCCTCTCGCAGCATCGACAGACATCACTAAGGCAACAACAGCCTCCTGAGCAGGTCCTCCAGTTCTCAGAACCCATACACTCTGGCCAATTTCGATTTTTTTTATTGCTCTTAGGTCCATTCAAAATCTAATCTCTTCATCCGAGACCATGTGTACCACACGCATGATTAGAACAAATTATTTAAAGGAAAGTGAACCTGTATATAAATAAATAAAAACTGAACAGAAGAGACATGCATATATGCCAACATAAACACTTAAATATCAGATTAATAGCAAATTCTTAAAAAGAGTTAAAATGTAAAGTGAATACAAGCTAAAAAAAATTAAAATCAATTGCTTAAGAATAAGTTAAAATATAAAATCAATAGAAACCAAGTTATACAATAAAAAGTTAATCAATAAGTTAAAATCTATCTTAAAACTAAGCTAAATTATAAAATCTATAGAATATATTGATAATAATATATTGTCAATATAATTGAGAATATATTGAAAGAATAATACAATTATATACAGGAAGACAAAATCTTTTTATTGAATTTACATAAACAAAACGTAAAAACAAGACAATAATGAAAATAAATTGTGTAATTCGCCTACTTCTGTTGCATTCGGTTATGGCTCTAAACGGTTCACTGCATCTGGTATTTAATTGTGCAGGTATTTAAAATACTCCAGCAGTTAGTGGCGTGTGCTGCTTCCGTTTTCGACCGAGCGCACTTCCTGCGAACTCCAATCAACTTCCGGTTTCAGACCAGTCTCTCCGAATTTGTCCAGTCGAACCAATATGCTCGTCCTTAAGGCCACTTTATATTCCAGCAATTTTGTATTTTTTGTAAGTAAAACCTCTATACTTATGACTTAAATAAACATTTTTTATTGAAAATTAAGTAATTAATATGGTATATCTTTATATCTTTACTACAACCAAGAGTATACATGTATGTGTTTATTAGTATATACCACACACACATATAAACACATACTTACACCGCCTGTCACTATCGGATCCAGGATTTAATTTGGGGGAGGGGGGCTTAGCCCTATAGCTTTTTTTTTTTTTTATAAATATAACGAAAATTACTAAAGAAAGTAACTAATTACCTATATGAAATGTTGTTTAAGTGATTCTAGAAGTACTAATTAGTGTAATTAAACGAACAATAGTTCTTTTAACGATAATTTTTTTCATAAGACATGGGTATATTTTACCATTTTGGGGGGAGGGGCTTCAGCCCGAAAGCCCCCCGTAGATCCACCTGTCAAAAGTTTATGACCAATTCAATTCTTTATAAAAATTCGATGAATTTTGGAATAAATAAAACAAAAATAATATTGTTTTTTAAATAAAAAATTAATACAACTAAATAATACAATTTTAGAGCAAACTAGAAAAGAAAAATATAGAATAAATGGTGATAGGTCTCCAGGTAGAGATATTGTTTATATCACCTTTGCCCTTATGTATTAATATTGTGTGCCCTTGTCGAAGTAGTTGTGGGACATAACATAGGCCACCATTAGCATTATCTCTGCAATCGTTTTGTTAATATTTGATGCATCAAAATATTTAATTGTGCGGATCAGAACTCCATCAGGCCCCGGCAATATGTCCATTGATGTTGATTTAATGGCTTTCTTGACAGCTTCAAGCTCAATGTCCACCAAATTATTTACACTAATATTACACTAATATTATTTTAATTTCAATTTTTTAAAATAAAATCTTGACTGCTGCTTGTTATTTCAAGTACTTCTCAGAAGCTACCTAATAATTTTTCTTAAAGTTGCGTGACAGTGGACTTTCTTATCAAGCTCTTTTCAAAGAAGTATTGAGTTCGAAAGGTGAGCTAAGTTATTTTTTTTAAAATGTCTTCCTTTTTTTTTTGCTGTATTCTCAACGAAGTCGAGATCAATCGGATCAATATTATCCTGCACCATAATAAAACCAGAACCAATTAATCAATGATACAGTTGGTCTTTCAACATTTTTTTATAACATTATTTGATAAGTACCCGCGTAATTTGTAGAAATGCTTCTTGTCAAAAGCCCTCACAAAAGGACTGAGCTTCCTGCATATTTTACAGTTGTAATAACGAATTGAGGAATATTATTTTTCAAGTACGATTCAACGAACCACAATCCGCCTGGATTTCTAAACAACCAATCTTTTGATGAGCCTGTTCAAATTACTTTTCTTTAGTATTCCATTTTTAAATCGTTATGAAAATGTTAGCACCGATACCTCTTCTTCTTAGCATATCGTAGAAGTGACCAAGTCAGACAGAAGTGGCCTGATTGCATCGATATGTTCCAATACGTTTGCCTCCCTGAGTCTTCGTTTTACATTTTTTTAGTAATGGTGCTGACACAAGCACGAATTTGTGGAGCTGTCAATTTTCGGTTTTTCTTCTTTTTTATAACAATAACACGATCCTCTTACGCAGATACTATTCTAGGTCTTTCAATTTAAACTTTTTCGTGGTGAGTCAGCGTTCCATCTTATGAATGATGCCTACCTCATTTTGATATTTTTAGTTTTATATTATATTGTATATTTAGGACAACTTGCTATTCATTTCACTTGTAAAATGTTTTGTTTAAACTATTCTTCGCAGTTCAAAGGAAAGTTGTTTTTTTTAGCCGCTTTCAAAGGAAAAACAAAACAAAAATAAACCTATGAATTGAAAATATTTTGAGAGAATGCTAAATAAATTAAACTGCTGGAAAAAAATATCCTGATCCCACCCGTGAAAGAGCCTGCGTGTAAATAAAACTCCAACACAAACAAAATATTGTTTTTCAGTCCCTCCAGAAATGACGTAGGGGAAACTTTAAAATATCAGGGGAACTTAATTTTCTCTATTCTTTTTTTCTTAATTTAGTCGAAACTTTGTCGTAATAAAATAGCTAAGAAGTAAAATGTTGGTGAATAATGGCCTAATTTATACAACAAATAAAACCTCAAGACATCAATTATAGGAATAATGAACAGAAAAAAAAATTGTTTATTCTCGTGGAAGATTGAAACTTGATTATCAGCAATTGTGAAATGTTAAGTTATTTTTATTTAGAATAGAATAGAATAGAAAATAATTTTATTCTGGGACGAAGTCCCTTTAGAATAACAAAAAAGTACAAAATTAAAATATTATATCTGGCCCAATAAAAACAAACATAAAAAGTAAAAATAAAGAGAAATAAGTAAAGAAAATATTAGTTATACATACTATATATAAAAAAAAAATATATATATACAAAACTCTTGAAACCATGCCAAGACACTTAAAATTATGTACAAATTATGTACATGTACAATGTAAATATATACTTTAAAAAAAAAATAAAAAATACATTACATTCTTCTTAGCAGTAAACTCTGAGTGTCTATTGAAAAAAAAAAAGAAAATCGAATCTGATAGTAAATATTTAAGTGATGAGCTATATGTAAATACATCATTATGAATAATATGTAATTTTACATAAAAGGTTAGCAGGTATCTGACTGTTTTTGGGACAGGAATTGTAATAGGAGGGTTTTAAATGTAGATAGAGAGGAAGAATGCCGAAACAGTATATTAAGTGCAATGCTTGTTTTCATGATTTTATAAAAATCATAAAACCAGAGTAAAAAGACAAAAATAGCAGTAAAAACAAATAAAAATAGTAATGAAAAAAGGCAAAGTTAACAATGAAATAAACGATAATCGATTTAAGAACAAAAATAACCAAAATAAATTAAATAAAAATAATTAATACAAATAAACATTAATAAAATCTCCGCTGGCGAAGTTTTCCAATTTTCGATTTTTTTATTTAGTTCTTCATCATAGATTTTTAAGAAAGCGACAATTCATTTACACGCAAAATAAATTTTCATTCATTAAATGGTATCTACTCTTACCAAAAAGTAGTAATGGTTTAATATTTTTAAACCCGCCGCATAGTAGGCAGTATACAATGTGTCTGGACATAAGAAATGAGTGTATAACAAACTGGTAAAGATTACATTTGATAAATGTAACAGATAAAGAAATAAATAAAGGTGGGTCGAAACGTGGGCCAAACAATTAAAAATACTATTTTTTAAAATTTAGTATTTATTTGACCGCACCCCCCGACCAAATCCTTCTAAAAAAATAACTTTCTTTCAGAGAAAATCAAAAATAAATTGAAAGTTCTATTTCTGGAATTAATTTTGTAAACAATTTTACAAATATATAGTAAGGGAAAGTATTGCGATCGTGAAAATTTTCGAATCCGAGTTGTCAACGGAAAAACACGTTTTAAGGTCTCTTGAGTCCAAATAACCAAGTCTCACAAAATGGTCTGTGTGTCCGTGTATGTGAACACTAGCTAAAAAACAAGAAGTACGAAACTGAAATTGGGTATTTAAGGTTTGTATATGGATGGTGAATTCCGTTCTTTTGTACTCAGCGGAGGTTTGGGCTCCATTATACTGTCACAAAATAAAGAGCGTTGCTTTGAGTTATTTTAAAGCAATATATCATTGGCCGCGTAATACCCCTAATCATTATGTGCTTGTAGAAACGAGTCTAGAATCATTAGAAATAAGCGTTCTTGAAAGAATGATTCGCTGCTACCGAAAAGTAGACCTAATGGAAGATAACCGATTACCATAACTGCTATGTTCCTGGCCTCGCGTTTCTACGGAAAGTAGGGGGTTCCAGAAACCACATATATTTGTATTTAATACTTATATTGGTATTTATATCGGTCCCAGAAGGGAACCGATCTACCGAAAAATATATTAATTTTGTATTAAAAGGTTAGATACCACAGACCCCCTACTGTAGTATCCTAGATTGAACCATATAATTTTTATTGGATTTCTTTTCTAAAGGTATCATGTTTTTAAATTTACTATTTGTTCTATATCTAATTGGTGGCATGCAAGGTAGAATGTAAAATCATCAAGATGGTTTACTAACTATTATATTTACAAATTTAAATAACCAAAACATATATACAATGATAATGAACAAACCTATATACATAATAATAGTTGAGAATCATACTAGAGGAGAATGCTTGATTAGAGTTACATGTGTTCTATTGATTTTATTAATTAATGATTTATAATCTACATCTGTATAACTAAATGAGGGTTATTACCTAGCTGGTGAGGGGTGTTGTCGTTATCTCTAGCTGTTCTGGCTACCTCTCTGGAAGCTCCGTCGATCTGGTCTTCAAGTCTTCATCTTGCTCCCTCCGGCTGTCTTCTAACCTGAGTCCCAGCTATCAGTCCATATCTTGCTCTCTCCGGCTCTCCTGATCAAGTCTCAGCCTGTGTCCCAGCTCTCCGTGTTCAGTCCCGATTCTCTATTTCCCACCTTTCTTCATCCCCCTCTCTTTTGGTAGTCTTTCCTGATTGGCTGAATATTCCTAGCCTAAGGGATGACCACGCCCTCTCCCCCAGGCCAAGGTGTATTTCCTTTATTGATATGTATCTAGCTGGTGAGGGGTGTTGTCGTTATCTCTAGCTGTTCTGGCTACCTCTCTGGAAGCTCCGTCGATCTGGTCTTCAAGTCTTCATCTTGCTCCCTCCGGCTGTCTTGTAACCTGAGTCCCAGCTATCAGTCCATCTCTTGCTCTCTCCGGCTCTCCTGATCAAGTCTCAGCCTGTGTCCCAGCTCTCCGTGTTCAGTCCCGATTCTCTATTTCCCACCTTTCTTCATCCCCCTCTCTTTTGGTAGTCTTTTCTGATTGGCTGAATATTCCTAGCCTAAGGGATGACCACGCCCTCTCCCCCAGGCCAAGGTAAAGCAGCAGGTACAGATTTACGTATTTCTGGTGGAAGGTGTGAAAATTCT